GTTTTCCAAATTTGCTGTCATATTGAGTGTAGCACTTTTACTGCATCGTCTTTTAAGATTTTGAATAGCTCAGCTGGAATACTGTCACCTCCACTAGCTTTGTTGTTGCTCAGACTTCCTAAGACCCATTAGGAGGCCCATTTGACTTCACATTCCAGGATGTCTGGCTCGAGGTCAGTGACCACCCCATTGTGGTTATCAGGGACGTTAAGCTCTTTCTTGTATAGTTCTTCCGTGTATAGTTCTTGCCACCTCTTCTTCCTCTGTTAGGTCCCTGCCATTTTGGTCCTTTATCATGCCCATCTTTGCATGAAATGATCCCTTCATATCTCCAATTTTCTTGAAGAGATCTCTGGTCCTCCCTATTCTATTGTTTTCTTCTATTTCTTTGCACTGTTCATTTAAGACATTCTTATCTCTTCTAGCTATTCTCTGGAATTCTGCATTCAATTGGGTGTATCTTTCTCTTTCTCCCTTGCCTTTCGCTTCCCTTCTTTCCTCAGCTATTTGTAAAGCTTCCTCAGACAGCCATGTTGCTTTCTTGCATTTCTTTTTCTTTGGGATGGTTTTAGTTGCTACCTCTTGTATAACGTTGCGAACATCCATCCATAGTTCTTCAGGCACTCTTTCTATCAGATCTAATTCCTTAAATCTACTTGTCACCTCTACTGTATATTCATCAGGGATATGATTTAGGTCATACCTGAGTGGCCTAGTGCTTTTCCCTACTTTCTTCAACTTAAGCCTAAATTTTGCAACAAGAAGCTCATGATCTGAGCCACAGTCTGTTCCTGGTCTAGTTTTTACTGACTGTATAGAGCTTCTTCATCTTTGGCTGCGGAGCACATAGTCAATGTGATTTCTGTGTTGACCGTCTGGTGATGTCCATGTGTAGAGTCGCCTCTTGGGTTGTTGGAAACTGAGTTATAAACAGTATTTAAAATTATTAAAGTAATTAAAATAACTGAAACTGTTATTCTGTGTTGTTGTAAGCCACCCAGAGAAGTTTAGCCACTGGGCAGTATGGAAAGTAAGTCAAATAAATAAATAAAAAATTGTCTCTCAGGGTAACACTTTCTCCTCGCTAGAGCCAACTTAACAAATTTAACAATGTGATATGTCAAAAATAACCTGTGCCAGCCAATAAGAATAAGAGTTCATGTAAAGAATTTTTCTCTGATACTCGCAGTAATGGGATCAATGTACCAGGTCCTCAGAATGGACATTCCAAAAGAAAGTGAACCACATCCTCTACCTTTTGGCATCCTAATGGTCAATGCATGTTTGCCCTATGCTGGCCACCATAGCATCCTGTAGCCTCTCTTAGCTGCAGAGTGTTTATGTGCATTTAGTTAAGGCCATCTCAAACTACATGGGAAGATAAAAGACAAATAGGTTGCATGAATATTTTACACTTGGCCACTAGCATCATAATAGTCTGTGTCCTGTGGCTGGCGTGTGGCTGGCGCTCCTTCCCAATGAAAGCAATCACTCCAGCAGAGACTACAAATATCTTTATTCTAAAAGCTATACATGTAGAATCAAAACAGGTTAGAAAGTTGACCTCTTGCTCTGATGAACTTTACCCCACACATTGCTTATGAACCCTCTGTGGTCGCACCCCCAGAGGTGGGGTGCTGTGAACTATCTCTTGTTGTTTAGCTAATCAGGATTCCATCTTTCTCAGTCTGTGCATGCGCCTGTGAGAATGAGCATCCTCGAATTCCGCTTGCTGCTTATCAGTTTGGTTCTCACACTCTATATCAGAGTTTGTTCCCTTGTTTACCCCCAAATCGCCCTGTTCCTGCGCCTCTGTTTTGTCTTCTTTCAGCACCACACTATCTGGCTCTGTCCTAATCTCACCATCTGTGAGAGTGGGATGGGAAGGTTATTCTACTGGAACCAGAAATAAATCTTCACTGATGCTCTGGTTCTCATGAGAATTTTCCTCCCCTTGTGCGCGTGTTAGAGACTCTTCTGAGCGCGCACGCACAACAGTCTGTTAGTCTGTATCAAGTGACCTGAGACATCCAAATGGGCACCATCACAGTTCCTTGCAATCATATAGCCTTCTGTAAGACCCAGTGTAGAAATTATTTCATATATTTTGATGGCCCATGATTCTGCGCACTTGTCTTCAAATGCCAGTAAATGAGAGACCTATTAAAATCGTAAGCCAAAAATAAATAGCACCTTTCTGAGCAAAAGTTACCATTGAACAGCAGACTTGCTCTCTTCAGAAAATTGCCTTGAAAATTGATCTAGCAACATCCAGGGCCCTAGACAGAAAAGTATGCTATTCCTATTCCAGGGCTGGGACAGTCATTTGGTTTTAAGACAATGATCTGAGGCATCATCCTTTGAATGTTTCTAGTAAATATGCACCACAGCTGAAGCTAACCAGTATGAAAATGTCTGGTTTTATCAATGTGTAAATAAGGCAGCTAAAGCTGGAATCCGCCAACTTATACAATTTATTAAAAAATTGGGAAGATGTCCATTCGTTCCAGGAGATTTTTCCTTTATTTACTATATTTTTTGCTGCCCTAATAATGGGCAGTGACCAATAGAGGTAAGAGTGAATCCATAATATATAAATATAGCATAATGCAGCATCAGAGAATAAAACAGTATAACAAATCTAGCAGCAATTAAAATTCCAGAAATATTAAAACAATCTATACACCTCTTGAAGATCATTAAGATTAAAGGTTTGTGCTGTCTTTTGCTAACTACTTAGAGATGAAGCTTTTGTTTATGGCTCAGGTGCCTTTAAGAAGGGAAATATGACAATTGCAGTCACCATCAAGCCCGTTAACAACCATTGATCACCATGGTCCTAGACATTGTTAAAAGACAGAAGTATGTATTTCACTAACCATAAGGCATCAAAACATAGAGGATGCTGTTGCTTCTTGGTCCAAGAAGAGAATCAATGCCCATATCAGGATGGCCTGAAACCATCCTTTTACTCCCCCAGCGTGTGTGGGTTAGTTCAACCCGTGTCTGTTGAGATGGATACAGCTAAACATTTTAATTCAAGAGAAAGCAGCATTGGGGCCATCTGATAATAGACACTGTCTCATGCATGCACCATATTTCATACACATTTTAGCATGCTGTTGAGACTCAGTGCCTTGAGTTTCCATGATTTCTTATCCCAAGCAGAGAGAGGGAGTTTGTGTTTGTTATGTATGTCTGGATGGAGAGGTTAGTCCAGCTATGCTCAAGTGGTAGTGTTCTCTCTGCAGTACAGAAATAACTACAGCATGTCTGTGAGGGGCAAGCTGCTTCAGCAGAGACCAAAGCCTGAAATAGAATAAGAACTGAACGGAGAAACTGTAATTCTGTGGCTTGTGATTCTGGATGGAGAATGGGAGTTCAGTTTTAACTCCTGAAGCAAGTTCATGTAAGCAAGTTCTGTGTGGTTTCTTTCCTTTTCATATTTATGTGTCTCTTTTTGTTTCTTGAAGGTTTTTGGGTTTTCTACATCATACAGACCAAGTGATCAAATTCAAGGTCCTTCTTTCTCATGGGACACTTCTAGTCTCTGTTGCAATTAAAACAAGACACACCTCTATCTAATGCCAGAATTAAGTTTAAGGGCTACATAAAAAATGCAATGGTTGTGTGGACAAAAGTTCATCCTTTATTGAAAACCAAGTGGGAATCAACAAGCTCTTCCCCGTTTTTTTGTTTTGCCCCATCACAAAGCTGCTTACTAGAAGGAACAGATTAATGGATGACTCCTGGTTACCTTTGCTTATGCTCAGCTCTCTTTCCTCATTTCCTTGCTCTATAGTCAACAGCTTTCCTTTGCCCCATCCTCATTGTTTGCGCTGCTCTTGAGAAGGAAAAATGGAACCAGTCACTACTGTTGCCAGGCAAATAGCTGAGCAACCCACAAGTTGGTTATTATGAGTTGCCTTCTCTATCTTCTACCCTCATACAGCCTCATCCTGTTTGTTCTACAGTTTCACTCTTTTAAGATGTTATATATGTAAGTAGGTGGGTGTTTTCTGGAAGGAGAGCTGGTTTGCTGCTATTCTGGATGGTTCTTTACTGCCCAATGTTGTCGCAAGGGCTTTTGACTGCTTCTTTGGAACCTTCTAGACAGAACATTTAGCATTTGACAAATGGAACCTGCAACAAAATATTGCACCATGGAATACTCAGGGTGCTATCCAGCCAGCCACGACTTCTTCCAGAACGAGTCATTTCTCCCTCACCCTGGTGGCTTTCTGTCCCCAACAGTCAATCTCCTCTACATTAAGTCTTTGTTTTCTGAAGGCAAATTGTTCTTCCCCAAGCCTCAAGTCTGTTAATAGAACCTCCTCATGCAAGGATTATGCCACTTGGCTATATGAGTATCAACACATGGATGAGGAGTTGGTTACCTGGTACATATGACTGCTTATTGGCAGATGAACACATGCTTATCATACTGAATACAACTTTGAGATCTTGAAGATTTGTATCCCATCTCATGGACAGGAGTTACTTGGATGCAAGAGGGAAGTGCAAAACCAAAGGGGGGAAATCAGTAAACATTACTGTATGTTCATTTCAGGGGAAATGGTACACAGTCAACTGGATGTGCTAACTGGATATAGAAATATATAAATGGTTCTGTATCCAGCAGTTACCATTGGTGGCCGTAGACAGTTTGGGTGCCTTTTCCATGGTAGGAAACTTTATATTTTGGTTTGTAGCACTTTATATTGGGGTGGTGCTGGCAGCCCTGTTGAAGTTTGGAGGAAATTATTTCCATTATGCAGAACAGGATGGCTAAAATATGCCTAGGAAAGCAAGTTAATAAGAGAAGAGCTTATATCTCCATCCTACTCTGCTTGTCATAGCAACTGATTTGTTTTGTGGACTTGCTCCTTTTCTTTTCTTTGCGTTTCCACTTCCTGGAAGCAGCTGCCCTGCTCGGCAAGCTCATATATCGACAGGGATGCCGATGATTTAGCTTTCCTCTTTTTTTCTTCCTGCACTAGGAAATGGGCAGAATGTGTCAACAGTATGGACAATAGCCTATACTGCCATCACTGTGGATGGCGATACCACAGTTGCTTCAGAGTTAAATGCCAGTAGCTCCAGCTCACCTGAAACGCTGGCTTCTGCCACACTCAGCTCCGTAAATGTCACAACAGCACTACAGATTACGGACCATTTCACCAATGCTAGCATTGACATGCCTTCGCTTCCTACTCCGACTGCAGACTTCAAGGAAACTAACCATTCTAGGTTGGATGATGATGCAAAACCCACCAATACTACATTTTGGGTTATTTCCAGCACAGATGTCATGGCTACAGAAACATTTCAATCAAAGGAGATAAGAGGTAAGGCTACAGAGTCAGCCAGCCATTTCTTATGACATGTATTTAGGACAAACTGATGTGAACAAATGGAAATTGAGGGTATGGGCTAAATACAATTTGCAAGAAATAAAAAAATAAAATTAGACCTAATGTTGCTTGTTTATTTCAGATTTATATACATTGTCCATATTTAAAAATCTCTCTGAGCAATATACAGTAAAATTAAAACTATATAAATATAATGGTATCCATTAAAATAAAATCACAATGCATAACTGTTTAAAATGTATATAAAATTAAGACTATTAAAACCAGTTAAAACAATTTTGATACATAATGACAGACAAGGCAGCGCACTCAGAGAGGGCTCAGTAAAAAGGAGTCTTTAAGTGGTCCTTAAAATATGTTAGAGTTGGCACCTCCTGAAAACTAGCGGAGAGTCATTCCACAAGATCATTCTACCATGGAGACAACCAGGTTGCTGCAGGACAGGCAGCAACCCTTAACCATCATACAAGTCCATATTGCAAAAAGTGATCTGACAGAGAACCTGATTCCAGGCTGTTCAGGGTTTTATACACCAACAGCAAGACCTGATACTTGGCTTAGTAGCTGATAGGTAGCCAGTGCAGCTGCTCCAGCACTAGTGTAATATATGCATGGCTGTGCATTCCACTCAGCATCTTGGCTGCTACATCCTGTGCTATCTCAACAATGGAAAGTTATCATATGAAATATCATTCAGTTTTCATTGTCTTTAGAAATGAGGATATTCACTGCTTACATGATTGGTTCTCTGAGCAAAAGGGGAATGGTTTTCCCACACAGAGTTCTGTTGAACTTTTGCTCAAGAATTTTGGAATAAGGCATTTAATGGATATGGAAGCTTATCTCAGTGTAAGAAAGCTAAGCCATTACTTAATGGGTATAAACACAGCAAAAGCTCCCCTGGAAAGGAAATGGTGACTTTTTAAAAGCCATATTAAAGAAAGCCTGTTATCATGGCCTGTGTCCTGTATTAGAGCCATTGCCGACTTGCGAAAAAGGGGAAAGTAAGAGTGTATGGCATTTTTTTTGTAATCTCTCCAGAGAACATTTGTTATAGGGTGGATTATAAATAAACTAAGTAAGTGTACCTTTACCTAGCATCAAAGGATGAAGAACTATTACAGCAAGCCATCCTGCAGGAAAATGTATGATCAGCTGGGAATAGTTTATACTGGAAAGCTAGATGTCCAAAGCAAAGTACTTAGATTTATCTTCCTTTGACTTATTTTGCTTGTCCTGATTATTTCAGGATGTGGAATAGTTTTTCTGAGGGAGCCTACTGGTAACAATAGGAGGAAAAAAGCTGTGTCTGATGCATCAGACACAGATGATGTCAAGCATATATTGATGCAGACATTGATCTGGAGGGTATTCATCACTGATGTGTTTAGGCAGCTAATTGATTGCTGATCCTGGAATGTTGCAAGAGTCACCTCTATTTACCATGCAGACGGGGCTTGCCTGTGAACACACTTTTTGACCCACATTGGTTAAGGTATGCTAGTTCATCTTCCATCTTCAGGCACCTGATAAAAAAGAACTGATTTCTGATGTCAGTTTGAAAGATGTTTAGAGCAAAATTGATGAGGTTTCAACTCCCTTTCTACTAATTCTTGAGTGGAAGGCAGGCAGGCTACACCATAACTATCTAGATTGCCACACTAACATTCCCAGTTTCTACAAACTAGAGGGCTCCAATTCTATAATCTGAATAAATTATTCAGAATTCACTCTGTACAGGACACAGATCTAATAAGTGCAGGCATATGCATGTCACAGCATACTTGCCATTGTAAAACAAACAATGACAATGGTGGTAAGCACCCATTTGTGTCACTTAGCCAATGCTATGCATCTGTTGAAGACAGTGGTCCCTAAACTTTTGGGGGCTGCCACTCCCTTTCCTTTTGGGCAACAACCCATGCCTCTTTGTATTAGGTCAGTTGCTTTGCTGGAAATTTTAAACAACCAATTATTGTCCCCCTGGATCTTTCCACTGCCCCCAGGGTGGTAGCCATCTCATTCTAGAGTTGGCTGTATCCATAGGCTAGAACTATAGTAATGGTAAGAGAGAAACTGGTCATGTTGGATTCTCCTAACTTATTCCTAACTTATTCCTGAGAACTGGAACTTTCCCCTCTTGGTTCACTTTTGGATGTTTCTTTGCAGGGACAGCAGCTGTACCTCAGCCAACATCGCCCACATTCAGCAGTCTGGGGCCTACTGAAAGGAGATCAGAAACCATGCCAGTGACAGATCATGAAATTACCACAGAGGAAAGCACTGCCAAATCCACAGCAGTTCCAAGTGCTACCATTACTGATGCAGGAGAGCTCACACAGAATGCATCTAACATTACCACGTCAACACCTGGGGTTGTCTCCTCCACTCTTATGTCCCAGACAACCGTGCCTGTGGAAACAGAGCAACCAACCAACCATATACAAAAGACATCTGTAGCTGATGGGGAAGGTACATGTCAAGTAACAGCAAAAACAGACTAGGTTCAGAACTAGATATGTAGTGAGCAAGGCAGGAAAGTAGTTATTTAGCAATATTTGGGGAAGGAGATAGTCATTCAGTGGCAGAACACATGCTTTGCATGCAGTGAAACCCAAAGTGCTATTGTGAGTCTGAGTAGACAGTACTGAGCTAGATGGACCAGAGGGCTGCACATCTTTGTGTGCTCAAGTCTGACCTTTGCAGTAGGTGGTAGATGTGCAATGTGCCATTGCAGCCCTTTGTCGTGATCCGTGTTTTACACCTCACCATTTCCTTCTTGCAGACTTGCCCAGTATGCCAGAAACCAAACCCATCAGTGAGGATCCCCTGGTGATTGCTCTCATCTTCATCTTTATTGTGACAATAGGGATCCTGGCTCTTATGGGTTTCTTGAGATACCGTCGGCAGAGTGGTCAGCTACAATTTAGGCGACTCCAGGATTTGCCTATGGTGAGTGCCCGCAATAAATCAACATTGGCTGGGCCTCTACCCTGAGTTTATAGCAGAGTTAGGCAACTTGTGGCCCATTATAAGTTTTGGCCTGTAACTTCCATCAACCCTCATCAGCAGTCACTGGTGAGGAAGAATGGGCTAAAACATCTGGAGGGTCACAAGTTGATTTCAGAAGTCCTGTTTCCAGTGCTGTTTTCTATCTCCCCATCAGAAGCAAGAACCCTTGCTCTCCCTTGAAAATTCTGAGAGGGTTTTTAAAGTAACATTCAATGTTGTTATCAGAATGAGTGGGAAGGAGGTGCAACCCAGACTGCTGCCAGTCCCAACTTAAGGAGTGTTTAAGTATATCTATTTGTGAAGGGTTGGATCTGGAAGATAGGGAATGCCTGTAGTGAGTTCTGCTGTATCTTTTGATCTAGGAGATTCAGGAAAAGAGCTGTAGTGGCTTCAGTTGAGTGTGGGAAGCTCTTCCAGAATTAACCCCATTTGGAAAAAAATTGAAATTGGTACTACAGTCAAAATGGCATTGGTTGGCCTCTTACTTCAAACTTAACGAGTTATTTATTTAAATATATATTCTACCTTTTTTCTTACAAAGAACTCAAAGGGGCTTTATAATACTCCTGCTCTTAATCTTATCCCCACAAAAACCCTGTTAGATAGTTTGGGCTGAGAGTCTGTGACTGGCTGAAAGTCACCCAGTGGGTTCCATTGCTGACCAGAAACTCAACCCAGATCACCTGGGTCCCAGGCCCACACTCTTAACCACTACTGAGTCTTACCAGGAGTGTAACCTGAGTGCTGTTTCACCAATAAAACTAATATGCTTACCTCACCTGAGGTTTCCTGTCTCTTCCACAGAAAATGATTTTTTGACAAAGTTTGGGGTTACTTTGAGGTGGTTGTGGAGCAACAGAAGATAACATTGCACTGATGGCATGAACTGAGGGAATCTATATGTGTACTGCTTACTTTGATTCCCTTCACCTATTCCTGTTCCTTTATGCTGGGAAAAAATTAACAGGATCTCATTTTTTTCCTCACAGGATGACATGATGGAGGACACACCTCTTTCCCTCTATAGCTACTAAGCAAACAGAAGACAGTTTCTGTATTCTGCTTCTGGAAAATCAAGGGAAGCACAAAACCAACAAAGGATCTTGACTGGAAAGAGACTCCCCTAAAAGATTTGAGAGCTGCTGTTCTAATTTGCACATGACCATACCAATGCGTGTCATTTGGCTTACTTTATAAAGGCACCATTTAATTCTTATTTTTGAGAATCGGAGCCAGAACTTTCCCTGGTGCCTCTGAATTCTGTGCTTGGAGGCAAATGGCTCTGGAGAACAGAGCTTCCTTCAGGCTTTCATTCAGTGGCTGCACTAACTTGTTGATGGAAAGGGAGGCTGTGCCTGGATTCCATGGAACAGCACTGCTGGGACTCTGACACAAGAAGCAAGTGAGCCCAGTAGCAGCCATTGAGTGTGTTATTCATGCATGGAAATGCAACCAAACTGATTTGGAGGCCTCACTGGCTCCCTCCTGGAGTTTAATTTTCTTTTCATTGCACCTTGATTTCACTTTTTATCAGTAGGACAATCCAATGGGAAAACAGGAAGTAGTGATTCTACCTTTTCCATAGGAATCCTGCTGTATCAGACCAAGGGCCTAGTCTAGCATCTTGCTCCCCGTGGTGGCCAACTGAATCCTCCAGAAAGCTCAAATGGAGTTTGAGGGCAATAATTCTCTCTGCAGTTATTCTTCAGCAAATAGTATTCAGAGCCTGACTACTACTGAAATACCTCCCTCTTCTTATTGTTACATTGATATCAGGGGAAATAAAAGTAGTTGTGATTTGGGCAAGCTTGAGGAAGCAATTTATTCCAGAAATTTCCCAAGGAAATTGTGCTGCTGTTTTCAGTATCAAGGCATACCACATAGATACCTATCAATTTGTTTTATGCCCAATATTCATGTAGAATAACCCAGTCCTGACAGAGCTTTTCACCACCTTGAGCAATGAGCATTTGATAATTGTACCGCCTTTGAAAGTTGTACTTAGCTCTCCTTGCTTGGTTAGCTGAGCACTTGAACAGTCCTATCTCCTGGAAACAGTCTTGGTATGGACTCTTGGTAGTTGCCTGCCACCGCCTGTTCATACCTAGCTCTTTCATTCACCACCTCTGCTCCCTTACCTTCCAACATGCTCCCCCAACTTGGTGCGCTCCAGATATTTAAGACTATAACTACCAACACCCCTAAATACTAGCCACATAGCAGGGGCTGATTGCAGTTGTAGTCCAAAACACCTGGAGAGCAGACTGGGGGAAGTTGCCTTAAGAGCAACTGCTTTGTGCTTAGTCTGCAAAAGTCCAGATTATTGTACATGTCTGGATTAACAAATTCAGACTCACCAGTTCCCAAATTTGCCAGCTAACCCCAAACATGTTACATACCCTCCAAAATGGTATTTGTAGTTGTACAAAATACGGAGAATGCCAAATCTGCTACTCTCCAATTCTCTTAAAGGCTACAAACACCCATGTATATCTATAGGGAAGGAGTGCTCTTTGTTTCTTTGCCAGCACTCTTGAACCTCTCTTGTCCTTTTCTGAGGTTCCTACCACCCTTCACTTCCCTTTCCCATTTCACATTTTCATTCCTCATTTCTGTCTTTAACTTTCTGAGGGCTTCTTCAGAGAAGAGAGACTACAGAACTGCTCCATGTTGGGATTGTAATATACACCTCCCCCCATCTTTTTCCTTTCTTGCATAAAGCTTAAAACCTATGCTCAGTTTAGTATACTAGGGCCTTTTCTAACTCCCATAACCCAGGACATCCCAAAATAAGACACAACACAAATTATTCAGAGATGGTAAGGAATATACCAAGAAAATGACAAAGCTGTCAAAGTGCATTACACTCCTCTTGGGATTCTTCAATATAGTTTCAATGTGCCTATTTAGGCACATGTCATCCAATATGTTAAAACGATTCCTGTATACCATTCACCCATAAGCATCTTACTTTGACTAAAGGGATCTAGTTCTAAAACCTTTACTTTGCCTTCCACTTGCTTATTCCAAAGCTTAGAGAGGCTAAAACAATTTAAAGGAAGAGAGATTGTCATGAAATTTGGGGATCTCTCTACTAAAATCTCTTAAGTTGTTATAACTGAATTTTCAGGTGTTTACAGCAGAGATAAGGCAGCCTAGGATCACAGGCCAAATTTTATCTAGCCCACAGCAGCATCTGGTTTGCCAGACATTGTGGGCCCAGTCACTCCTGCCTCTCAGGACTATGATACCTTCTTGGTGCTGGTGGAGGAGATGACTCAGGTACATGCATATGAAAGAGGTAAGCATAGAAAAGGGAGCCACTATGGAGAAAGCCAGCCTACCTCCAACAATTCTGAGCTGGAGGAATGGCAGAAGTGTTTCTTTTAATGCTGACCTCATACTGCAACTGAATGAGTATGAGTCAAGGACAGGAGAATTTTGACTTGGTACACAGCAAGACAAGAGGGGTGACTCTGTTTCATCATCAGCTTCAGTTTCCTACTGACTTTTCCTGTAGGTCAATTGACTGTCAAAAAGAATAGGTTCTGCACTGTTGGCCTATAGAAACTGTTTAGCATGCAGGTGATGGCTTTAAGAGGTAACACTGTTCATGGGACTCCCACCCCCACCCAAAGTCTGCAGAGCCACTTTAGAAAATAAGAAAGGTTGCAGCAATCATAATTAGACAAACCTAAACAACTAGATCCTAGCAAATCTGAAAGCCTCTGGTAGGGAGCTATTGACAGCCTGCTCCTATGCATATCTGAAAGTCCCACCCATTGAGATCAATAGGGCTCAGCTCAATATAAATAGGGCTCAGCTCAATATATAATCCTCAATACGTTTTGAGGATTATAGCCCAGAGCTACATATAACCATCATACATGTATCTAACTGCAGGAACAAAAGGGTTAGTGTAGCTCCACAGGAAGGCCATTTCCCTATTCTCACTGCCACACTTCAGAAGGCTCTCTTGTACCCAGTCATCCAACTTACAAATGGTGATGAGAGTGGGGTTTCAAATGTACACTGGAATTCCCAGGCAGAATTGTGAAGGAGGTGATTCAGACTTTTCCTGCAACTCTAAACTTCTGCTGCACAGATGAATGAGTTTTAGTGCTGCTTCCTTGGGGCTAGCCCAGAAGAGTGTCTGAGGTTTCACAGCACAACAAGGAGTTTACATGACAGCACCATAGTGGGCAAGGTGCCAGTTCCTTATATGTCCTTTGAAGGCAGCAGAAGCCTTTGATGGTTCCTCTGGGTTAGATTTTTATTAATCCAGGCTCAAGCATAATTAAGTTCATTAGCAAGAGGCCAGAAATCAATCACTGTGGTTAGCTTTGAAGTGAAAAAAGATGGGGCACAAATCCAGATAAAAAGAGTTCGGAGCTGCTGCAAACAAGCCATTTCTCCCCTAGGAGTGTGCAGGCATGTGTGTGGCAAAGCAATAGAACACTGGACACATTTAGTATGGAAGATGGCAGTAACAGAGCAGCAAGAACTGGAACTTGGCTTTTTTGGAGTGCAAATTCCACTTTGGAAAGTAAATTAGAAACTATGAGATGAAGGAGAGGAAACCATTTTTATTATTCTGAGCCAGTTACAGCAATGCAAGTAGAATTGGTATACCTGGAGAGGATAGTGGCTTAATTAACAAAAGCCAGCATGCTACAGTGGTTAGCTTAATACTGAATTAGTGCTAGGAAACTGCAGGCCCAGTTACCCTCCTGTAAGCCTAACACATCCTGAAGGGTTATTGCAGAAGCAAAATTGGTGAGGTGCTGATGGAGAGAACGATATGCAACTTAAAGGTAGCACAAAATAAAAATGTAATAGGAAGGCATAAGGGTAATTATTTCTGTCTAAAAGCTCTGGTTACACATTAGCTTTGAAGGGCCCTTTCATTCTACATTTGTATGTGTAGATCTAGAAATGTCCAGTATAATGCCATGATTCACACCATTAACAAGCACAGGTTGTTGAAAAGCTGAGTGGGAGCAAAGGCACATGCTGGTCCCCAGCTACCTGTTTCGGCCAAGATAAACAAGGTGGGTTATCATGACAGTCAAACCTGGAACTCCGGGTTGCTGGAAGAACAGATAAAATGGGACAGACTTGGGACCCATGGTTAAACCAGGAATCAGCATGCATGCTTACTCCAACTCAGCTTTTCAACAACCCATTTTCTTTATCTGTGGATAGTTATGATGTGTGAACCAGCCTGTTACAGAGATACATTTGCTGCATGCATTACTCAGGTACATGAGCAGGAACCAGGCACAGCTATAGCCTATTATTTACACACACCAGCAGCATGCATCACTGTGTGAATGAAGAAAGCCGCATCAGCTGTTGTAGATTTAAAGTGATTTGCCAGGCAATTAATGCAGTCTTCCCCAATCTGGTGTCCTCCAGCAGTGTTGAACTACAACTCCTAGCATCCCCTAGGCAGCCAGCACTTCTTGATGTGCACATGCTGGTAGTGGGCTACAGTTCAAGAAACTTGGAGGCTGGGGAAGGTATGCTGGCAAAGCTATCCAGAGACTTTTTGTCAAGCCAAATGACTATCCCAAGCAGTCCAGATTATATGTCCTAGCCTGTTCCATGATATTGCAAGGGATCCTGGGCAATCCCTCTCAGACAGCATAATGCTTCTTTACTATCCCTGCACATCTCAGCACCCCAAGCAGATATTTGGCTTAATTAGGGTGGCTGCATCTACAGGAAGCCAAAGTAAAACTAAAAGCAGTGCTTATCCTAGGAGCTACTCAAATGTGGAGCTTACAAAAGCATTTGCAGAGGGAAAGGTCAAATTAAAACGGTTCGCAGAAGTCTTAAAAAGGTAATTTAGATGGTAGCATACTGCTGTGCCTAGGAGGGAGAATGCTCTTCATTATTACTGATGTGAGTGGGGAACTGAAATCATTGAGTTGGAAGGTCCTAATAACACATGAACATGGATTACTCTGCAAGCCCAGATTCTGTCACTGTTCCATGGCCCATATTCAAATCAAAGCAAGCCAAAGCACTGAAATCTAGGCTGGCTAACCCCATGTCATTACATAAGAGCAAGGCTACTATTATGACATCATTTCACAAAAGCTGCCACAGGGTTTTCTTTCAAGCCAATACACACATACAAATCTGAGTGTTATTTTTACTGATGATTAAAAGGTCACACGCTACATGGAAAGCTCCATTCCATCCCGCCCCCAATACACAATACCCTCAGTAACTAAAGTTTTATGCAAGTGAGAAATCTGCCAGCTGCATCCATGAAACTTACCAGCTTCTACCCTACATAGTGTTTTCTCTAAAGCAGGTAAAATATATTTGTTCCTTTCAGGGTTTCTCAGCATGCTCAAGAGTTGAGCAGTTCAAATTGGTTTAGTATTGCTTGCTCCTTTTGTATTCAAGTGGCACTGCTTTTAGTCAAATTCCCCAATGAAATTGTTTTTGTCTCCTTAACAGTAGTGATCTTGTTTCAACCGCATATCAGCTCAGCTCAGGACCCAAGCTAGTATCATGTTCTATTTCTTTCTTCAACATAAGACTGCACTTGTGGAATATAACTATGGTTTGAAAATGGAATAGTGTGTGAGAGAAAAAGCATGTGTACAAGCAATCTCCTAGAAAGATATCACCCTCCTACTGTGCTCCATCCTAATTAATGAGAATGTCCCCTCTGTCTGTTTACACTCAGATGCTGGGCTAGAGTTCAATTTTGTCTTGCACTAAGTAGTCACATTACTTTTATAGCATGGTGGAAGTTTTACTACCTCTGAAGGCAGCAGAGGCATCAGATAGTTCTACTTCTGGCAGTATGAATCATCTTGACAATAGTTGATCATGGTGCAGACTAAGCAACCAGACACAAAATACAAAAGATAATTAGTTATTTTTTATATTTCCCCTCAGACCTTTCCCATTTATAAAAAGCTTTAAGAAAAACAAAACTCCATCAACTCTAGAACCAATGTTCCAAACCAAAGGTGTTAATGAATGCACACAGGATTTTTCTCAAGAATATGGTCAGTTACATTTATTTGTATCAAACTGTTCTGTCCAGAGGTCATGAATTAACTCTTTCCAGTCTGCACTTCCCCAATCCTAAAAACAAGCCAGCGTGCTCTGAGCAATCCAGAATTAATAAACTCTAGGGCAACCAGTGCTTCCCAGCACTCACTGAACTATAATGGAGCATCTGTTGATTTAATCTCCCGTGGACTAATTCTCCTCCCCACCTCCACCCTGCCTTTAATCCTTTTTCATTCTGAAGTGCTTTTACCCTGAAATTGAACATGCTTCCTCCTGCAGACTATTCCTGAAGGCATTCCTCTTTTTTAACACAGGCTTCTCTAGCTGTTAGGGGGCAATGTGAAATGCAGCTTTGTTCAATGTGTTGATATTCACACACAAGAACTCCCAAGCGCCACTACATTCTCCAAATTAAAATCAGGACATCTGTGTCCATTTTAACATCTGTACTTCCCACTTAGGCTTAGCAAGAGAGAAAAGAAAAAGCTGCAATTCAAAGTCAGTTTTATCTTCAGTCTTGAAAGCCCAACTAAGGTGTTTCAGAAACAGTGTATAGCAAAAGAGGTTTACACTGAGAAGATCCTCCAAGCCTCCTCCTCATTTTTAACAATAAAGAATAGGGAGACCGTTTTTCTAACTTAAGAATTTTGGAGTACTGCTTCAAACAGACAGCGTGACCTGCTTTCAGCCAGTCGATTTACCCACCGTTCTGTCCCATTGCTATGGAGCACAATGGGAATTCTATTTACCACAGAGGCATAACAGAAGATCAAGACAACAGTCTATTTAAATATTGGGAAGGAAGGTGCTGACCTGATGCATTCTCATTCCCTTGCAGTGTTTAAGGCTGCTGATAGGCCCCAGTAACAGGTTATTCACTCCTAATCCATGAAGATACAGGGCAATTTATACTTGAAGTTCAAATGTATGTTACTAAACTCTGACTTTAATAGAGAAGGGATGCAAGTTCGAGTAGAAGATTGGTGGGATGAGGGTTGCTTAATGCTTCTCCCATCTCATTAGCTGTTTTTCCATTCGCCCTCCATAAGTTTCTGAATAATATTTCCAACACCTAGAACCCCAAGTAGGGAGAAAGCAGTTAGGAGAACATCTTTTAAAACCTAAAATTTACTGGCAGAGAATGAATTAAGCAACCCTTCATCCCAACATGCCTCTATTCAAAATGGCAGTGTTCCACACACTCTTTTCAAAAAGTAAAATTCAGGACTTCACTATATGCATTACCTGTAACATATAGTTTGCTGCCATTTTTGAGCATTGGCTAGTAAGTGCTTGATGGGTCTTATTCTAAATGAGCTTCAACCTTGATTTAAACCCCACCCATAGGCAGTTGTTCAGCCTAGTTGTACAGAGGGCCTAAGACAACTGCACAAGCAAGATGTCACCATAGCCAGCTGCAACATTCACTGAAAAGGAACCAAAGCCATATTAAAAGAGCACTAGGCAGTGCACTGAACTGTATTTTACTTTCTTTTCCACTGAACCACAAAATCCACAATAGGCAAATAGGCCTGCATATGGCAGTAGACTGTAATTCACAAGCAGCTCAATGAGCAAGAAAACATACTAGGCACACACAGAATTTCCCAGATATACCCTCTTGCTCCCAGACAGATTCCCAACCTATGGGCATATTCTCACAGGATGTCTCCCCATCCTCCTACCTCCAGGACTGTAATGTCCCTCCAATCACAGTAAGCCTGCCCTGGTTTTATTTTAGAAGACAGGAGAGCCAGATGCTCTTGGTGGAAGCACACAGTATGGCAGATTATCAGAATGTGGTTTAAGATGAATTAATTTCCACAATGTTTTGTCTTGCAGTTCAGTCTCAGTATTAGCTTACAGACTAATTAAACATTATGAGAATTGGGAATGTCCAACTCCTGGAAAAAAGCAGATATGTTCCACTAACTGAACATACAGGGACTAGCAATACTACTGTGCCTTTCCTGAAAGATACATTGGCAAGAAGCCACTGAGCGACAGGCAGTCCTCTCAAAAGGTTTCAGGGCCTCCACATCATATCGTGCTAACAGAATACAGGCTGAGGTAACGCCTTCCCTCCTACCTCATTTTGACTTTGTACAAAAAGCAGCTCATCATGTAGCAGAGCAGTCCATATGTTTCTCCTTTTTAATTCATATCCTCATTAGAAAGAATGAGGCAACACTTTGATGAAGTTTTAAAGGTCACTCAAGTTGAGCTCAGGTAGACTGCTGGACAACTCACTGCTGAGCTCTGCTCTCTCCAACATGCCACCAGTTGCCCCTCCAGGGATACCTTCCTCCAGCTCCACGCTTTGTATGGAAGTCTTGTCATCTACAAGTAAAGATAGAGCTCTTAGCCTAATCCTCTGGCCACCTACTTAGACACAATCATCACCATGCAGTATCACCAAAAGTCAGTGCAGTCAATAAAGGGCAAGAGGTATTTACAGTTTATTACAAGTGCTATAAAGCAGACATATTTCTCAAGTGTTTCAGAAGCACCTACAGGCATTCAGCTACTGAATAGTCAGGTTCCTCTAACAGACCCTAAGAATTTATTCAGACATGAAATACTGGCAAATGGAGCCAATAAAGTTGTAGAGGGCCACAACTTTAGGAAAGGGCCTGAACACATCCTGGAGATCTCAAAACAAATCTACACAGAAGCTGAATCGCAGCAGCTTACTTTAGGAAAAACCAAGTCCTCAGGATTAATATAGAAAAACAGCAAAATGAAAAGAGGTTTAAGAGACCAAACCCCCTAGACCTAGTTCACAAGAATTTTAAGCATCTTAATAAAGTAGGGCATAAATTCCCCTGAAGAGAACATTAATTCCTTTATTCCCCCAAATGGGGGTTCCTTGGTGTGATGTAATACAAGTCTTGGAGTTCCAGGAGAAAAAGAAAGTAAACAATGCAAACTTTTTCAGTACCAGTTTCTTCCTCTTCCTGGCTAGTCATAACCACAGATGTCAAAATACCACAGATATTCAAAATAAAAACTCAAGCAAAAATGTAGAAAGAAACCTCACGGGTCTCAGAAAAAGACCCTGTAATGGTTTCAATAAATACTTCAGAGTTATACCTGGGCTTACCAGCAAGTTGTGCAATCTCTGGTTCACTGAAGAGTTCATCTGAGCTGACATCTGTGAGACTGAACTCAGAGACTGAATCATCACTGAGAAAGAACAAGGCATCTTCATGCAACAATTCTTTTTTTTTCCCTAGGAGATAAACATCCAAACAGATTAGGAAGAACAGCAGCTCCCACCAATTCTCTGCTTATGTTTTCAAAATAAATGCTTAGCATTATTAAACAACTAAAAGCTGTCCTTTTACTATCTGAAGCCCTGGTGATCCAATAGAAGGATCTATCAACAGCTAATTACAATTTTAAATTATTTCCTTAAGGCATTAGCAATAAAGCGACAGACACACAATGTTTGGCTCATCTTTGTGTTCTTGGTGACCATGATTTGTACTCATCCTCTAATACAGCAGTGGGAAACTGCAGGTCTGAGGGCCAAATCCAGCCTCAAGGTTTCCTCAGATGGTCAGGCTCCCTTGCCCCACCCATTTACCCCAACCACTGATCATTTTATTTATTTATTTATTAAAACATTTTTAATAAATGTTTGGTGACTTCCCATTTGGTGACTTCCCAGATTTTATGCAAGCTCCTTCCCCCATTGCACATTCTTAAATGTTAAAATGCCACTCCTATCTTATTTATTATTTATTTTTTTATTTTTTCGATTTATATCCTGCCTTTTTCCTACAAAGGGCTCAAAGGCAGCTTACATTATCTCTCCTCCTCCATCTTATCCCCACAACAACAACCCTGTGAGGTAGGTTGGGCTGAGAGACTGTGACTGGCCCAAAGTCACCCAGTTGGCTCCATGGCCGAGCGGGGACTCGAACCCAGATCCTCTGAGTCCCAGTCCCATGCTCTTAACCACTACACCACACTGGCAATAAGAGCTTTAAGCTACACTAAATTTTACACAAATTAATAAATAAGCAAACAAACAAGCTAGGATTTTTGAAAAGGCATTTTTGGTCCCTGTGCATTTAGTTCCATATACCAGTCCCTGAGGGCTTTTCTGAAACTGAATTTGTCCCTTCCTCAGAGGCTTCCTCAATAGTGCTCTGTCATGCATGTTAGCTATATAATTTGAAAAATGGAAACATGGAGCAGTAAGTGCTTCTCTGGACATCTCTCTCCTCTGGTTATCACTCAGGATGAGTCCAAGAGATTCCACTGAACCAGTGCTGGCAGGCTAAGGGTTACTTTACACAAAATGATGTGTAAAATTAATAATAATTACTTTATTTACTTGTATTATTGTGTTGTTTACTTGTATTACTGTATAAATATTATAATTTATATAATTATAAGTGTGGTAAAGAGCAAGCATCTCTCACATACTCAAACATATTTATTTTACAGGATATGTTGACTGGTTGACAGCAGCTGCCCAGTCCACTGACTTGCAGAAATATAAACACTATTGTCATGCTTAATGTGGGGCCATGTACATCCCTAGGCTTAATCAGAGATTATCTCCATGTAGTGTTATAACTGGGACTGGCCAATGTGATGCTATTACATCAGTACTTTTCCATATGCCCCGACTGCCAGTCCATTTCTGAATCTAAATCAAAGTGCTGATTTTAATCTTGAATGCTTACAACCAGATGATCTGAAGGAAAGTCTCCTCTCATGTTTTTCTACCCAGACATTGAGAAAGTTTGCACAACACATTAAATTCTTTGTAAACCTTGGGAAGGTCTACTGCCTCAGTCCCAATTGTTGACAGTGCCTCCCCATGGAGAAGGCACCTTGAAACTCAGGGAGCCCTCATGTGAGGAAGCAGGCCTTAAATCACAAGCTTTGCCACCTCCCTGGAGGTTTCCCTCAGGATTTGCTGCTTCCTAAGCTGCTATCAGTCCAGGGGTAAATTGCAAAACCAAATGAACATTTGGGGCTTCCCCACTTCCCTTCCAAGGATTCTGCTTGGAATGGAGGGAGAACTGAGGAGGTATCCCCACAAACACCCTTTATAATAGATTCTTGAGGACCCTTGTGCCTGTGCATTATTCATATTTGGAAAAATGCTGTCCAGGGCCACATAAGCCCCCTGTAAATCCCATCAAGGATTCTGTTGCAAAGGATGCCTTTATCACTCCCACCTTAAAAAAAATAATAAAAATAATTAGCAGTGGGCTACAGAGCAGCAATTTGGCATGGACACTACTTTGTAAGGACTTAGTGTGCATGCTAAAATCCTCCCACTGCTAATTTTTTTTCTAGTGTGTGGGTGTGTGGAGTGACTTATAAACCACCTCACAGGAAAAGTGCTGGAGTCAGACAACACACTAAAACACTGTGGTTGATAAACCACTATGCCTTAATCCTAGTCATAATGTGAGCTCCTCCACCAGGTGCCCCTGCTAAACAAGGCACGGCAGATGTCTACAAGAGAGAGGGTGATTGCAGTGGTGGCACCATTTGAGAATGGAGAGAGCCTCACCTGGCACCTTTGTCATGGCCTTTCCAGCTGCAGATGAAAAAAAAAATTAAGTTCTCCTAGTACTGTATTCTGCTGCTAATTTAATATGCTGAACTTGCTTTATTCTTTGCTGCTGGTTTTATTCTGAACTATTCTAATTGTTTATTCTTTTATTTTGATATTTGTATTTTATGTTCTTAAAGCATTCTATCCAAGAACTTCAGTTACAGCACTTACTCATATGAATGCTTTCTTTCTTGAATGGCATGGCATTCAGCTTGTCATCCAAATGAAGACTTTTCACCTGTTCTTTTAAGTCAGTAACTGCAGATCTGATTAAAATGAACAAATAAAAAACCCACAGCAGCAGTTAATCTCAACAGAAGGAATACATGCAAGATGAAATACAAACTCATGCTTTACGGTCAATCTGAAAGAATTAGATTGTTATGTTCAGAACAGCTCTGTGCTGTTCGTATACAGCAAAAGAAAGGGCCTTGTTAATTCCTAAAATGTCTGTAGACAGGGATATAATTAACTGTATGCTGACTGAGGAATTAATAGAAAGCACATCAAGACCGACTAAGGTGACAGAAAAGCTAGGCTTAGTGGAAGAACTGTAATATAGGATGGATGATTCTCTGGTGTTGTTCTCATAGAACCACTTATGGATCTGGAAAGAACAAAGAGGAGTCAAATAAATTATAGTGAAAAGTGACAGCATCTGATTCTTTAAATTCAAACCAATATAATGCAACTGATTTTCTATAGGTTCTATATGGGTGATGATAATTGCTGGAACAGAAGGTTCCTTCATCCCTTAGAGATGAATTCTTGGGGACAGACACATTCCATGCCACCCAGCATATGTTTATGAGACATAGATATGCTACAGTAAAAGGCATAGGGCCCAAAACAGGACAGGGCAAGAAAACAAACATTTCATCAAAATGTATGTGAGAAAAGAGTGGAAAAGTGGAGGCAGCAGGAACATGTTTGTGAGGAGCTACAGGTATGTGCTGCATGTTATTAATCATCCTGTTCTAAACAGCAGCAAGAGCATCAGATTGACTGGCTTTGGTGACAGCAAAAGGGCCACCTTACACAACACCTTCACAAGAAGGTTTCTTCTTGATCTTTGCCGCTTTTGGCAAACATTGTGAAAAGGAGGCCCTCCAGTGGTTAGTTCCTCCCATCCACCACCACGCCTTCATTCGGATGAGAATAGGAGTTTTAAACTAGCACGCATGCACATCTCAGTCCGATACAGAGCTACTTGCATACATGCTCAGAATCTCATGCATTTGCTTACTTGACATAGCTGAGTTCCTGCTGGGTGCTCTGGGTCTCATGCTTAGCTTTATCCAAATCCTGAGTCTGAGTTTTATGAGTGTTCATCAGATCTTCCAGCATCTAGAATAAGAAAGAACTCTGGCATTAAATCTAAAAGCAAAATAAAACAAACACTCATAGACAAAACCAGCACCTTCCCATAAAATTGTTTAAGCATGGTTTTGGTTTTCTTCTTCTAAGTACAGCCATTTCTGTGCTCCCTTGCAGAAATCACCAAATGCCCACAGAAGTGAAACAACAAATGGCATTTGTAGCCTCACTCCCAGGGTCAAAGTACTATGCTACATTTTGCAGGTTGGAGAAACACAGCATTGGTTTATAATGGCTATGTTTCAACCTGAAGTGGAGGCCACAAGTGCACCTACAGCAGTGGTATTCCAGTGAATGTATGTGCCCACCACCTGAGCAGCTCTGCTGTCAGTTTGCCCCTTCACTTATGTGCACACTCTTCTGATATTAAGGCCAGAAAAGCACATCAAGATTAAGAGCAACTATAATAAAGTACTCTTTCTATAGCTAGAGCAGGGGTCTCAAACTCGCGGCCCGCGGGCCAGTTGCCGGGATGGGCGGGGCACGGGGGAGGGGCCCTGCGGCCTTCAAAGCGCCGGCGGCGCCCGGGCCGGCCACGGGATGAGCGGCCCACCACCACCACGGTGGTGGAATACTTGATGCGGCCCAGCCTCACCCAGCCTCTACTTCCAGCGGCCCCCAGGTAAGTTGAGTTTGAGACCCCTGAGCTAGAGGAACCACCACTAGGGGGAAGGGAAGCATTTGGGAAAAAGGAGCACAGGACAGTCTGCTACTTTCAATTTATGTATTTATTAAATTTATATCACACCTTTTTTTCTTATAAAGAACTCAAAATGGCTTACATAATAGTCCTCCTGCTCTCAGTCTTATCCCCACAACAAGAACTCTGTGACTGGCCCAAAGTCATCCAGTTGGCTCCATGGCTAAGAAGGGACTACAGCCCAGATTGCCCGAGTCTCAGTCCCACACTCTAAACAACTACACCACACTTGCCTAAGTTCTAGCTCACTAGCCACTTGTAAGTCTTCTCCAACTTCTTGTCAGTCTAGTACAGATTATAAGCACCTTTGTGCAGGAGCTAAATTGCCAGTTTTGTTCAATGTTGATGAAGTACCATTGAAACAATATTAATGGGTAGTAAGAAGCAAACTTCTCAACATCATACCTTACAGTATTGGCTTTGAGTCCTCTTAATCTCATGAGTAGCAGAAACTTGATTGAACAGATCCTCCTCTTGGTGATCTAAAGGATGCAATCAGCCACATCATTTTCTCAGCTGCATGCACCCCCCCCACTCTTTCCTACCAGGCCCACAGGGTAAGTGATCTTTATTTATTATTACAATGCAGAGGTTGGGGTGAAGAAGCATCAAGAGGTACTTGCCAAGCTTGAGTTTCAGCTGCTCTAACTCTCTTTTGATGCATTCATATTCTTGCCACAAGATTTTCTTGCTAAAATAAGAAAAAGAGAAGCATCAACAAAGATCACTTCTCCACAAAATCCCTTACAAATTCAGTGAATGTTTTAAGGTATTATGAATACCATTTGAAATACAGCAAACTAGACCTTTACCCTTCTGATGCATAGAAGACAGTAGACTAGAGATGAACAATACTACCTAACTGGGTCTCCACAGATTAGAAATGAGTAAGAGAGGTAAGTGCACTCACTTATGGTCTACAGATAACATGATTTACTCTAAGCAAATGGCTACTAGGAGGAAAAGCCCTAATTTTCCTCACTAGAACAACTCTCTCCAAGGGATTTAGCAGAGGCCAACATATATACAAGCCTTTGAAAATGTGTGTAAAATGTGCATAAAAGTACATTGAATACTAGAAATTTCACATTTTTTACACCAATCACATATTGCAGATGGCACCTGGAAACATATCACTCTTTGCCTGCCACAATACTGCTCTCTCTCACTAATCTCAATTGTGGATAAAGCCAAATGCTGACCTCTCCAGCATATCTTGCATGATGCCAGGGCTGGAAAACAGATCAGGAGTGCAGTCACCATCTGACTGTTGAAACACGTGTGGACGAAAGCTATGTAATTCACTCTTCAATCCTTCCATCCTGAGTCCCACTACCGATTCCAAGGCACCATGTGAATTGTGCTGCAGTCGATCTACTTCCCCTGTAGCAGTAAGTGGAAAATATTAGCTAGCAGTATTCTCTTCAGCTGCTACAGCAGACAAAGTTAAGGATAAACAATAGTCTTGATGTGCATTTGTTATTGGTACAAGTTACTCCATTAACTGCACTACAAAAATGGCAGCTTCCATCTGGGAATCACAGAGCCAGCTTAGATACCAGGAAAAAGGAAGCCTTGAGATCATGGGTTAGCAAAAGCAAGATGCAGACAGGGAATTGACATCCCAGTGCCAACTGATTTATAGACCAGGACACTTCAGATAGGATGAAGAAGAATCCCAATATGTAGGCTAGTGGTATTCCTATGGAACACATTGTAAAGATATGGCATTCACCTTAAGCTGTATTCAGTATCTATATGTACATCTCAACAGATCTATAAGAGAAATAGGTGGAGATTTAGATTTATGGAAATTTAGATTTGTGTGTTCAAAGACACATATGAAGCAATAGTAGAAATAGATAGAAACCTGTGGACAGTTAGTTCAAATCAATATGCTGATCTCATCCCCTGCTTTTAGGTACTCATAGCCCTCATAGATTTTCCAGTATATGACACAGCAATGACTGGCAAATACCACCATGGGCTTCCCCACCAGGTCTAGCCTCTAGACCTGACATCCCTACAGCTCCTAGGCTTCCTGACCCATGATCCCCTGCTTGCCAATAGTACACATGTCCTCATGTCTAGAAGCCCGATGCATAGCTTTTTCCAGTCCCACTTTTTCTGCTGCTGCATTTTTTTTTTCAATTTTGTCTCTCCCATCCATCATTCTCAGGGCTCTGAATTTCCAGCTGCAGCCTATCTTTTCTCTCTTCCTGGCTCCCTGCACCACCTACAGTCTTTCAATTGCTGTAGCATTTTTGTTTTTGGAGTCTCTTTTCTGATCAATGCATCAGTTCCCTGCCTACATATATCTCAGTTATCGCCTCTCAACATTCTACAATCTGGGCATCCCCTTGTATTTCTGATCTTTCTGAACTCCCATCTTGAAATTCTTTTTTTCTTCCTCCAAGATAGTTTTGATCCAGACTTTCCTACTTCTTTTCCATTTTTTCTTATTTCACTTTAGGAGTTTAGTGGCAACTACACACAATGCCTTCCTTCTCCCAGCATCTCATTCTCCTAACAATTCAAATGTGACAATCTGCATAGTGTGGCTAGCTACCTGCAACAAATTAGGAAAACCAGTAATGAGTCCATCATGTTCCTTTCCATCCAGAGAGGGGAGAAATGCATGTATCAGGACCCAGACCTCCTCCCATCCTAACTTATATTTTTATGATGTTGGTAGATCATAGATCACTGGTGGAGAACCTATGGCACGTGTGCCACAGCAAGCACTCTGAGCCCTCTCTGTCGGCATGCAAGCCAAGTCACCCCAAGCATTGTCCCAGCAGCCAAGCATTAGATAACAGTGCACATAGGGATCATGCACATGCTTGGAAAGGAGTAGTGGTACCAGGTGATGACATCACAAGCTGCGACACATTAGCTGTGACTCGTCCGAGCTTTCACATGGCTAGTCAGTGCGCTGCCAAGGATATATATATATATATATATATACACATATATATATTTGCTTGGACTGGCTGTTTTCAGGTTTTATTGCAGTGTTGGCACTTTGCAATAAATAAGTGGGTTTTGGGTTGCAGTTTGGGCACTCGGTCTCTAAAAGGTTCACCATCACTGTCATAGATGATTCTACAAAAATGTGGAGAAGGACAGAAAACAAGAGATACTTTGAATTCCCCCAGGATGCAACACCTGATTCACAGGCATTATATTGTACAGGCCTGATCTTGGGAAGCGTCTTGGAGAATTCAAAGAAAGAAATCACCTATTGCTTTAACAAGCCAATTCAATGTTTGAGAAGAAAAGGGAATCTTCCAACTTTTTCACTGGGGTTCAGTTGATTGTTGGTTATTATTTCTAAAGCCTGAAGTGGATTAGGGCCAGAATATATAAAAGACAATTTCTCCTATATAACCCTGCTCATCCATTAGCATTTGCTGAAAAGACTCGACTTTGCATCCCACCAACATACAGTGACAATGTGGGGTATAATTATTTTTTAAAATACAGAAACAGGTCTTTTTTAAGGGTATACAAGCAAACTTTAGTTTTCAAAGTGCCAGACAATCATGACAGAAGGGTATCTTTGGAAAAGCAATCACCAAACAAGGAAAATCTCTCATACCCTCTAGCTGACTGATACTCTGCTGCTGCATTTCCTTCTCCTGTTTCAGCCGATGTACTGCCTGGGTGAGGGACTCTATGACCTAAAAAGAAAGACAAGACCCAAGAACATGGCAACAGTAAATTTCACCTAAACAAGAGCTCTCAAAACCTCATAAGAGAGCAAAAAAGACACATAAGAGAGCAGAAAAACTAAGTAAGGCCAGAAAACAATTGGTTTATTTATTTAAAACTTTTGTAGACCATCCCCCATTACTGAAGTCTTGGGATGGTTTAATAATACAAAATGTAATTTAAAAAAAACACAGTGTCCTAAAATTTAACTAATAATAAAAACCCAACTAAAACAGCCAGGTCTTAAAACATTGGGAAAATAAAAAGGTTTTGGCCTGGTGCCAAAAAGAATAAACTGCCGGCACCAGGTGAACCTCTCTGGTGAGCAAATTCCACAATTGGGGTGCCACCACAGAGAAGACCCTTTAAAGATGTATATCATTCCTCTGTAGGCATCCCTGCTGCCATTGGGATTTGAATGTCATCTTTCCTCCCAGAAGCAAAGAAGGACATTCATGGAAATTCCCTTGCTTACATCCGCAGTCCTGTGAAGAGGGCTAAACCAAGACTCAGCATCATGTCCATCATCACATAGTGAGCTTCGTAGTTGATTCAGGAATTTGAATCCAAAACTACCCACTTGAAGTCCAACTATCTACTTCATCGCACCATCTTCTCTTATGTGCAGTATTTTGCCTATGGGTTTTTTGGATTTGTTATTTATAGCTTTGTTATTTATTGTTATTTGTCCCTCCAAGAAACTAATATTCCTTTCCCCAAAGCATTTTATTATTTAATGTATATGCCCCTGCCCATATTTTTAAAGAAATTTCCACACATTATACTAGGGCAAAGTGAATGCATCCCCTCAGTTGTGATGCACTGGCTTTCCTGTACTTGAAAATGTTGTCTTGCTGCTCGGTTTTACTTTACCTTTTACTTCTATTTTATATTGTAATTTTAAAGTTTTACATTTTTATACTGCACTTTATGGTTTTAATTGCTGTCAATTACCCAGAGAGCTTTGCCCACCAGGCAGTATAAAAATGTAATCAATCAATCACCCTTTCTCCCCCTCATAGCACAGAGGCTACATGCCACTGTTACCTGGGCTTGCGAATGCAGTTGCTTGCTGATGGCTGAAAGCTCCTCAGTGGCCATTCTACAGCATGGGTGAGCTTTACATGAGAAAGGCAGGGGCAGTGGTCCAGTCTGTGGCTCAGTCAGAACAGCACTCTCAGTATTTATTCTGTCCAGCAACGAATCAGCTGTGGGGACAGAGACAATAGAACAGGCCATTTTGTGAGGCGTGGAAACCATCCAGAATTGGTGCAAATGAGTTGCTCAAACAGCTCAATGCAGTTGCACCAATTATATCCAGTTGCACTGATATTTTCAGTCTCACAGCCATATCTGATTGAATGTCAGATCAAACTTTTCAGTCAAGTATGAGCCTGAACATCATTCTGAGATTTCTATTAACCTCTTTTGGGGCTTGTATCCACGCTTCACCTGATGTACATTGGTTCTCTAATATTTCTAAAATCCATTTTTATCTAGTAAATTTACTAAGGCCTTTATTTGGATGCCCCTTCTACTTCTGTGGTGACTATTCTGACATTCTGTTTGTCATGTTGTATTTCTCAACTTAAACCTACAAACTCCCTTCTCTACTCTACTGCTAGTTTAATTGTCTTTCCTCTCTTTAATCTTGTTTCATCTTGGTGTGTGTCCTCACAAAGACATTTGATTAGCTTTGTTTTTTTTTACCTCTTTATGGCTTCCTCTTTCTGATCTATCTACATTGCTCTCTACCTAGTCTCTTTAGTCTTTGTTCAGCCCACTTCTTTGTACCTTTTCTGATGTCTGTGAACTTTTTTTTCTCTCTCTCTCATGTGGCCTCTTATGTGCAAAACGCTTTTCCTTTAAAAATGCAGCTGGCCTCATTCTGTCTCACCTTTGAAATTAAAAATTTATCTCTCTTGCATTTCCATCTCATTCTATTTAACTCTTTCCTACTCCCAGGTTAATTACTGTAACCTTTTAATGACTTTTCCTTATTTTAGTCTTTCTCAGCTAGCACATTTTCTTTCCTAGTTTCATTTTCTAAATAAAAAGACTGTGAGCCTGCCGGCAAGGATCTGTTAGGTGCTTTTTAAAGTAACTTATACAAAAGGGAGATTTTATTTAACCTTTATACCATCCAATAGCTGAACCTCTCTGGGCAGTTTACAACAGTTCCTAAAACAGGACCATAGTACAATAAAACATCATTACAATTTTTCAAAATAAAAAATTTAAAACCAGATTTTAAAAACACATTATCAGTTAAAACAATATTTTGATACAGGGTAGACCTGTTAAACATAGGTGCCCTCATTAAGCCATAAAAATATCCTTGAATATCTTTAAATACCTTGGTATAGAGGGCAGTCTTAATCTGGTGCTGAAAGGACAGCAGAGTGCCAGGTGGGGGCTGACAAGACGAAAGCCCTCCCCCTTGTTGCCACTCTGAGCAGCCCTCAAAGGTGGCACCTGAAGGAAGACCTCAGAAATTGATTGTAGTGTTCTGGTAGTTGTAGCTGGGAGAGGCAATTGATCAAGTACTATGATCCCAAGCCATATAAGACTTTATAGGTTAAAACCAACCCCTTGAATCAAGCTAAGAAGCATATAGGCAGTCATGAAAACAGACCAGAATTAATGTCATATCTTCAAACTTTCTGGGGCTGGTAATTAGTCTGACTGCTGTGCTTCATACAAGCTGCAGCTTCTGAATAGTCTCCAAGGGCAGGCCCCACTTAGTGCATTGTTGTATTCTAATTTAGAGATCACCATATGTTATGGACACCAGCCCATCCCAGGCCAGCTGAGGCACTGTTCACTATCCCAGTCCAGCTGGTTGTTGGATAAACCCATTCAACCACTTCATTAGCATCCTTGAGCTGGATCATATTTCAGTTTTTAAAAGTAATGCCTAGCACTTAAATTTGTCTTATTTTTACATTTCTTTACCACTAAACAGCCAAAGCTCTTTAGGTAGTTCACAAAAATTGAAATCTAAAACTAAACATGATAAAATGCAGAACTTTTAGAAGTTTCTAAAGGAATAAAATCAGAGTACAAAAACAGTGACAGGGATATTCTAGAAGAACAACGCATATTTTAAAACAAACAAAACTTGGGAAAAACAAAAATTTTCCTACAAAACTTGGGAAAATAAAAAGGTCTTCACTTGGTGCTGAAAAAGACCCCCGCTGTACATGCCAGGCAAGTCTCTCTGTGGTGGGCATTTCATGACTGGGGTGCTACCACAAAAGTGTTCTCTCTATTATTACCACCCTCATCAGACCTGAGGTGTGGTAACTTAGTAGTTTTTTAAAGGAGCAAAGATAAAGGGGATAGATATCAATGAAATTCAGAAACATGATCATGTAGCCCTGCTCAATCAGACAGAGATCAGTAGTGATGATGATGTGGCCCTTCAGACGTTGTGCAACCCCAACTCCTAGCAGCCCCAACCAACATGACCAGTGATCAGAGATGGGAGCTGTAGTCCCACAGCTGGAAGGCAGCAGGTCCCCCAGCCCTGATCTATCTAGCTTAGCATTCAGTTTCTAACAACAACGAGTGAGAAAATGTCACTTCATATTCACAAGCAGCTCATGGCCTTCCCTTATAGTTCGCTCCTGCGATTTTCACACATCTGAACAGCAGACAGCTGCCCCTTAACTTTCTAGGTAGAGAGACTCTCTGACCTTGAAACTTCAAATATGGAAGGCATTAAAGAGATTTTCATTCTGTGGCAAGTGATTTAGAAATACACAATATAACCAGTGAAAGCCAGTGTGGTGTAGTGGTTAAGAGCATGGGACTGGGACTCAGGCGATCTGGGTTCTAGTCCCCGCTCAGCCATGAAGCCAACTGGGTGACTTTGGGCCAGTCACAGACTCTCAGCCCAACCTACCTCACAGGGTGTTGTTGTGGGGATAAGATGGAGGAGGAGAATGATGTAAGCTGCCTTGAGCCCTTTGCAGGAAAAAGGCAGGATATAAATCAGGAAAAAACAAAACCAAACCAATCATACTTACCTTTGGAAGAGATGTTGGCTGGGTTCAGACGCTGCTGTAAGAGAAACAAGATGTAGAAGTAAGAGGATTCAAATATTCTCCTTGAAAATGTAAGATAAAGCACATTGTTTCCACCTCATGTCAAATCTAAGATAGCTCGGTTTGTGTAAACACTGGAGAATAGCAGGTAGATAAAATGCTCTTATCATACTGCTTTCAGTGGGCAGGCAACAGTAACATATACAGCCTAAGCAAGGGAGCATGATTTCAAAATTTCATGTTTTCTAAGAAATAACAGAAACTGTCACTTGATAGCTTGGATTAATGAAGACTAAAGCTACATTTCTGACCACCTTTATTTGCAAGAATTCAAAATGCTTTGTGTTGTCACTCGCAAAGCAATATATGTTTGCTATTACTATATGTAACAGTCAAAATGAATATCTTAATTTTATGGTAGAAAACTACACAGTAGGGCTAATTTCCAAAAACCTAGTCCACAATAAATAAATATTAAAGTAATTCACTGGGATGTGTTTTTACCTGTTTCCATAATTCCCTGAGAGGGGGACCCAAGCAAACAGCTCTTGGAAATAAATTCCAAATTTCCAAGGCAGCAAAGCAAGAAGTCTGCTTTTTTCTGGAGACCAGTCTGGCCTCATTATAAGATTAAAGTTGAAGCAAGGCATCAGTGGAAAATCTTTAACTTCAGGAAAATTCATACAGGATTAGGCTTTTCTCCATATATTCTAGTCCCAGATTGTTTAAGGCTTTACAGATTAAAACCGGTATCTTGAACTAACAGCAATTCAGTGATACTTATTTCAATACATGTCTTACAAGAAATACAAGACAAATGGCCCTCTGCATCATTAAAGACCAGCCCCACTTACAAAACATTGCTACAGTCTAAGCTTGAGGTCACCAAGGTATGGATATTATTGATTAGCTTAATTTCAATCACAGTGTGCAACTAGCTGATAAAGGGTGCTTATGGGTCACAGCCAGGGGGCTAGCCAAGCCAAAGAATGTAGTTGCCAGTCCTCTTCTTCAGGCAACCTCCGCTCTGCCCCATCATCACCTCTGCCAATAGCAAGGCCAGTGGGAAAGTTGCTGGTTATGCAGTGCTGACTAGGGCACGCCAAACATCTCCAGCAAGTATCAACCAACACCCAGCTCCCTTGTTCAAAGAGAAAAGCCGATCAGAGTGCCCCCAACTACAAGATACAGGCCGGAGACATCCTGACCACCTCTGAGCAGTGGTAACACCAATCCCATTGCTGCTCAAGGGAAAGGCAACTAGTTGAGTTACTGCATGGATGTACTCCAAGCACCTTTAGCCAGCAGCAACTGACCTTTCCTGCTTCAAAGAAGGAAAAGCCATCCAGGCAGTGTTTGGACCTACATAGATGATTGTATATCATGCTCATAATAAGGCAGTGCCCCACTCTCCATGATTAACATGGCAAGTTGATTTATTGCATTACATCAAGAACAAGACCAGGTCCAGAACCACCCCTTGATATTTCACGGAGAGCACCAACCTGCCAAGGAAAAATGATTCCTTCCTTCCAGTAAGGTATTTTAGTACAACAAAATATCATTTCTGTGTTGTCTGAATCAAGCTTAAGTTTATGATCAGCCTAAAACCACAAGGTAATTGTTTGTCATTTCTCAAGCTGGTTATTCAAGCCAACAAAGATGCCAAGTTTTCACTCCGAAAGGACCTCTGTAAAAATAGTAGCCATTAGCTCTAAAAAGTTCAGCAGATTCTGAAATCCTACTAAATACTATTACCTACTTAAATCCTGCCAGCAAAAACATATTTTCCCCTCACAGAACACAGCTTTTATGTGAACATGCATCAACAACAATTTTAACAATCTTATTTAAAGATTAAAGGCTTTTCCTCAACATTGCTGGGGAGGTGCACAAGTCAATATGCTGCTCTGTTGTTGAACTTGCCTTAATTTTGGCCATGTTGCTGTCTGTTTCAGTCAATATTGAGCTGAGCTGTGTGTCCCAATCCATGCTGTTGGCAAAAAGATGCTTTGAACAATTCACTGGCTGTCAATTTGTAACCTGGGAGGAATCCTTGGCTAGAAAAAAATCCCAGCAGAAGAGAAGAGCCTGCAAAGGCAGCAGGGAAAATGTTGATTTTCTTCCATGATCTGTACTAACATTAATCACAGTCAAGAGAAAAGGAATAAACAGCAAGTATAAACTTCAAACTCCAGGTACTTTCATACAAAAAATTTCCACAAGTTCTCTCCCCACACACAAGCAACTAAGGAACACCCAGCAAAGAAAATTCCTCTTGAACAGACTTGTAAGCATCCTTTACCCCCAGAATCAGGGCGTTTCACAGAGCACCCGACCCTGAACACACAACCGTTCAGGAAGTCCATAATTTTCCACAACGACGGAAATGGACAGATACCAGGTAGGCGCAAGGGTAACGCAGGCATTTTTTCCTACTATTATAGCGTTGTATCAAATATTCAGTCCCACTCCTTTCAATGGGCCTAATCTAAATAGGACTACTCTAACAATGGACTCCATACCCCGCTTTTTTCGAACTGTGACCCATCCTATAACGGGATTTACTTCGGAAGCACAGAAACAACCTTAAGAGCTTTGCTATACACTCACTCTCTGATGCTAAGGGAGCGTGGACCTTCTCTAGCTCGTAAAGCCCACACAAATATTACGCAAGACTCTGCCCGTTATGGAGGTTGTGGGCGCCAAGGCTCCTTGCCATACTGGCTCTGGCTATCCCGATTGAAGAACACCAAGCAAACAGAGCAAGAGGAAGGAAAAGGAAAGATGCCACGGCCTTGCCCGCTTCTGCAGCCTGACCCTCTCCACAACAGATTCGAACACGTACTCCGGAGACCGCTAAAATCCTGAAGGCGAGTTCCGTCTTCCGCTACGCCGCGAAGCCTTCTGGAGAGAAAAGTCCGTAGGACCAGCCGATTACCATAAAAAGGCCCTCTCGAGGACTACATTTCCCAACAGACAGTTCAAAACCAAAAGCGTGGGGTGTCGGGGACAGAGGAAGCGCCTTCCTCCTTTTCGGGCTTAGGTGCACAGCCATTTGTGGGACGTTTGCATATAGAACGTTCGGAGAATGCGCCGCCAGTCGGCGCAGCCGGCGGAGTCGCCTCTCTCGTGAGATACGTGGTAAGGGCCGCCGTACCTCAAGAGAAACTACATTTCCAGCAATGCTCCGCGAGTGGGTTCCATGGAGCAGCACATGGTCCAGCTGGAGAAGAGGATTCGAGACCACTTGGAGAACCTGGGCTTTGAAATCTATCCCCTTAAGGTACAGCATATTCGCTGGGGCGAAGAGCAAAGCAGACTGGGCAAGGGCCCAGGGCCGATTCAACCCCCGCGCCCCGTGCCTCGTTCTGGCGCAGGCACTGGCGGAGAAGCGGCCCTGGAGAACGGCTCCGCCAGGGCGGCAGTAAATTCTTTCTCATCTTTCACCTTGCTTGCTACAGTCAAGTCTCGGAATAGACAGCGGACTTTACTTTTCCGCTACAGTCAGGACTCTGGTAACAGTCTCCAAACCACCATCCTTTTCTGTTTTCTCTCATTCGTTTTCAGTAATCATTTGTAATTGTTTTGAGGGTAATGAGCAGGAGCATATGATGCTCATAGTCTTAACTAGCATCTGAATAGGTGAGGGGAAAACAGCACCCTTTTAGCCTACCTGTATTCTTCTGAGTCAAACCCCATTTTTATTTGTTCATTTATTTTAATCTTTGCAGAAAGAGACCAATCTTACAAGATACGAGATAACTTGTAAAAGCGACTGAGGACATTTGACATCAGGAACCACCTCACATACTGGAAGATCTTATAAAGAGGGGCAGGCAACATGGCACTCTCAGATACCTTTCGCAGGGCCTGTAAAGGTGCCCTGCCCAACCCACTTGCTATTGTTATTTTTTTTTAATAACAAAAGTGCATAGAGGTAGCTGAGATCACTTCAAAGCAAAGTGAGGGCCTTTAGCTCTTTCCATTTTCTTTTGCTGCCTGGGCTGCATGTGGGGCTCAGACATTTTTAGGAAAGGCAGATAGCAGGTGGCTGTGCATTGACCCTATCCTCTGTAGTGTGCGCATTTTGTGATGGTGCCCAGGAGAGTTTCCTCAGACTGCCAAATATGCCCACAGGTCTCAAACCTTTGCCTACCCATTATAAAGGAATTGTGTTGCTTTGTCTGTGCACCAGATCTCCATCTTTTGCCCATTCTAGAGGGGTACTGGCTTACAGGTTATGCCACCAGGTAACATTACACACATATTTTTCAGTTTAAAGTAGGTTTAGCTGGGTGGGGGATGCAGGATTTTTCTTTTTATACATGCATAGAATTGTGCCCTTTGAAGAAAGAATCAATGTACTACTGAAATCTAAATATACAATATGCTGGAGTATATACATATAAGATTAGCCATTAGAAAAGGAAAGAGCATGATTAACAAATACAAAAAGAATTCTTGAACAGCAGTTAAGATTACAGCCAAAGAGGGACATACAAAGTGGAGTAAAACTAGGAACGTGGCCAACAATAGTTGGATACGTGGATGAATGTCAAGTTAAAGATTGACACTGAGCAGATAGATTACTATTGTGGAGGTGCTGTATGTTCTACCTGTAACTTAAATATTAACTTAAGGGAGAGGAAAAATAATGTTCTTTTTGAAGTCCATCAGATCCTGATGTTTGCAGAAAATATGCTCCTTGATTTGCATTGGTTGATTTTATTATAACAACCTCGATGCAGGTTCTCCTGCCAGAATATAGCTATATTGCAGGAGAGCCTGCATCAAGAAATAGTCTTAGAGAAGGAGAAGATAAATGACAGAAACAACCCCCTGATGGTTTGCCAAGAAACCAACCAATGCTGGAAGCTATGAAGAACTTGCCTGTTTGACCTGTAAATTAAACTAATGAGACTTCAGGGATCATAAGGAAAAATATAATATTCACATGACTTTTTCCTAACTATAGCTGTACCTTCTACTGTCTGGAAAGTTGAAAGCCAAATGTTGAATCATTTATTTCTGGCTGAAAGGGAAAGCATCTCTACCTTGAACAATTGCTTAACACGCCCACAGAAGATATTTATCTGATCCATTTATTTCCTAAACTTCCAAATATGATGAATTGTTTCTTCTCCATTAGAGAATCCATCAAGCCAAATAATGTCAGTTCATAGTAACTTTAACCTGATAAAATTATGAACAATAAGGCACACATACTAGGAACCCAGTGCCAGTTCTGTGGAACTCTAATGTTCTAAAATTGATGCAAAAACATCAGAATCTTACAGTTCTGCTATGGAAGCAGCCAGCTTATGCCAGCCAAATGTTAGTATAATGGGTTAAGTATAATGGAGTGCTTTCTGCCAGAAAAGTTGGGAAGAAGGTAAAAGGCAATAAAAGTACAAAACAAATACAGAGAACATAGCAAACCCACTTCCCCAGGACCCATAACAACAGCACTGACTTGCAGTGGCATGTCAGCAATCATGCAACAGCGTGCTTTATTATTGCTGGCTTCTGCCATTAGCTAGGAATGAATGAAGCTAATATGTGGATGGCGATGAAGAAATACCTCCAGAACATCACTTGTATACCCAACATGATTTCCACCAAGGTAAGATCAGTTATAGCACCCGCCAAGCCTTACACAGGCGGTAAGTGTTCTAAAGTGAGCAAGAACCTGCAGCCAAATCCCCATCTACTAACCCCTATTATTTACACACACATACACATTCAGGTGCAAAAAACTGATAGTTTTTATTAAATAGTATTAGAGATGGAGCAGCTTGTGCAATCAGGATACATGTGTAGGATTGCCAGCCTTTGTGACCCAGCAGAGCTGCTGTGCCTTTGAAAGCAGCACAGCAGGGAGCAGAATGACAGGTGATCATTTACTTAATTGCTTCCTCCCTATGCTGGGTACAGGTTTACCTGTTTGCATAACTGTCAACAAAGAATCCTATTCGAACCAGAAGGCTGGAAACTGCAGATGAACAGATGAAATTACACCAATCAGTGCTTCAGATTAAGCTATAGCCCTTGCTTGTGGCGTGCATTGCGCTGAGAGTAAGGAATATCCTTGTTTCGGTACCTGCTGGAGAGCCAAAAGAGACACAAAAAGTTCAGTTGCTACAGCAAATAGTCTCTGGCCCTAGTTGCACAGTAGGTGTTTCTGAGTGATTTGGGAGAGGGGGAGGCAAGGATGTGCTCACTGTTGAGGACAGAGGGGAAGTAGTCACTGAACTGATATTTACCCCTTTCCTTTGGAGAATTGTAGTGGAACTTTGCATGAAGTGGCTGTTCTGTTCCTTTTCTCCATCTGTGATCCTGCAAGGCAAAAGGGTCATGAATGTTTGGCCAGCAATTGCAATGGTCACAGTGCCTAGCATTTACACCCCCCTTCTGCACAATGCATCTTCCCTATGTGGGAGACACCGTTACTTGCTCTTGATGGAGAAAGGAATGCTTAGCTATTGCTGCTTATCCAAAACACCAGTCTTCCCTGACCTGAGAATGCTAACTAATAATGATAGGAGTTGAAGTCCAGATTATCTGAAGGGCACCAGGTTGGGGAAGGCTACAGTACACATTTGCAATGGATTGGGGAGAGACAAGAGACATATTTGCGGCAATCATACTTTCACACATGGATTCCCCCCAATTCTTTACCTGTGTAGGGTGCTCTGCCCTTGCATCTTCAGTTGAAGGATCTGGTTGGTTAGTTGGTTGTGGGTAGCATTCTAAGGTAGAAGATCTCTAAATGTTCTGCAAAAAGAAGGGTTAGTGATCTGTTTTTCCTTTATTTTTTTCTGAGCCAGGCTCTGTCCATGCACATGCAAATTTCTCCATTCTGTGTAAAGTGCCATTTCTCCGTCGCTCATATATTCAGCATGTCACATTGTTTGCTCTAAGCATGCACAACATGAGACACACCCTGTTGCCTGAGTGTCAGGTGCCCTGGCACACTTCTGTGCTGCTGTGGGTGTGCTGTGCTTGAGTATCAAGTGAGTCCGAATGCTGTGTTGCAGCAGCAGGGCAGTGAGAAGAAGATAGTTCCCTGTGTCAGTTCTCAGTTCAACCAATGGTTGTGTTGTAGCCCATCCCTCCTTCAGTGTAACATGACAGTGGTAAAGTCCCGACATTGCCCAGTTTGGCCCCCTCCATTGGCATAATGACCCATCATTATATTCTTTACTTTTTTCCAGCATAAAGTCCCCAGTCATGGCAAATGTCCAAAAAACTGCTGGTGTGGGGGATTTACAGCAAACCACAAAGTTCTCAAGGCCACATAATTTGTGTCCTCCATGGCACAAAGGTCCATTAACAACTGAGTTAAGCCCAGCATAATTTAAAGCAGGGATGGGCACATGTGGGTTTCCAAATGTTGTGCTGTAATCCAAATGTTGGGCTGTAATTCCCATCATCCCTCACCATTCATTATGCTAGCTAAGGCTGGGAGGAACTGCAGTCTATCAACATTACACAGCCCTGATTTGAAGGTGGAGGGAACGCAAAAGCAAGTAGTCATCAGTAGCCTTAACTATGCTGCAGATTGAGGCCATAAAAGAAATTGAGACCACTACCAAAGTGAGAAGTTGCTTACCTAAAAGCTACTGCTTTGAAATCATGGTGCTTTTCAGTGGAAGTGGTTCCATTGAAGCAAATTGAAATATGTGGCAGTCCCCAGTTCAGTGGGACATATTTGGAGCTGGGTTTTGAAGATAGTAGTATTGAGAAGTGTGAGCAGGAAATGCATAAATTTTCCTCCGCACTTGAGCACAAACTATTAATTAACTACAGTTCTATTTAAGGTTTTCATAGGAGGAATGAATACATACAACAGGCATAGCTTTTAATACTTCTAAAAATATATACAGTTTCATCCTTGCTGACTAAATTCGGAGTTAATCCTTCAAAAAAGGTTCACATTCTCAGCAAAGCACGCACACTATGTTTGAAGAAAACATGTTGTAGAATGGGATACAGGGTGCTGTCATAGTCATTGGGAACTTCTGGTATCGGGTTTTAATTTAGCATTCTTTACCAACTGAATTTAATTTATTTTAGACTCTGTTATTTCATTCTAAAAAAAAAATACAACACTGCCATATCAGAGTCCCTGCTCATTACTTTTCCTGTTATCTTCATCATAACCGTATTATCAGAAAGGAAATCAATGTAAAAAAAACCACTTGTAGAAATGCAGAAATCTCAAAACCCAATTCAAACATTTTATGTTTTAAATTATTGTTTTGGTTGACATAATGGAATAGCAAAGGGGGAACTGTTAAATCTGAAGGGGGAACTCCTTTTGGAGAATGAAGATAGCCTCTCTGAGAGAGCATTTAGTCTCCCATTGCAAAGTGGTTTACGGAGAGAGATAAAAAGCTCAGTTGAGTCAGAAAGCTGGGAAACGTCCAGTCCTGAATGGAGGTATGTTCATTTACTTCCTGGGCAGGGAAGGAGAGTGATAATGCCTTCCTTTGCAGCTTCAAGGAAGAAGGAATGAACATGTCATCCAATTCAATGACAAATATAGCTATGCTAATCCATGTGCCTTTGCTACTTACTTGCTTATGTTGAATACAGGCAGGCTGCTTGAGAATTTCAGTTTCCTTATGGGAAGTGTTTGGTGTTTAGCTCATGTTAACAGTGCCTCATGTAGATAGACTGCCTGACCTTATATTGGCTCTAGTTCAAGCCAGGGGAAAATACTTGTATGTAATGATCTGAGGGCAGGCGCAGAGGAAGGTTTCCTTTTAAAAGACAGCAGAGTAGACTTATTTCATCTTCACCAGCAAGAGGTAAATAAAATATTAATAGTGAAAGTGAGTGTAGCATAGTAGTTAGATTATTGGACTAGGACAGCAGAGACCTGAGTTCTAGTCCCCTCTTTGCACATAACCTCACTGGGTGACTCTGGGCCAGTCATTGACTTAGCTTAAGCTACCTCTCAGGGCTGTTCTGAGGATAAAAGTAAGAACCTTGGAATAAAGTGGGATATAAATGTAAGCAAACAAACATAAACAAATGTATATGTGACACACACATATTTTCATTTTGCTTGAATATGTTTTTGACCAAAAACCCTGCAAATATCTGAGTGTACATTGCTATAATCCTAAATACCTTTAAGAATCCTGTTAAACTTGGTAGGACTTGGTACCAGATCAGATGTGGCAGAAGCAGCTCCACTATTGTTCAGGTAGAGATTTGGGTGTCTGATTTTCAACAGCTGAAGAAGTATGTGAGTGAGAAGCACAGGATACTTCCCCTTTCTGTAGCTTTGCTCCTCATGTGTTTTTTTCATCAGCTAAGCTCCAGTGCCAAGGTAATCTTGGCCAAATGAAAAGAGAGGCTATAAAGAAGTATGTGGCCTCTTTTGGGGAGAGACACTTTAAAGAAGTTTGTGGCAGATGTGGGTGCCCCCCCCCCCCACAAACCTTTTCTGGGCAAAGTTGGAGCTCCATGTCTCACTTTCTGGAGGATTGAAGCAGTTTTATGGTGAAACTCACGAAACTGCCACTGTCACATCTACGTGACCCCTTAATTTAGATCATATATGCATAAGATTAGGCTCTAATATTCATATTGCCATTACCTGTCTCCACATAGCACGTCCAACACTCTTTTTGTGATCTCCTGCTCATGACCCCTGCCTGTGTGATCTGCCTTCTAGTGCCTGATCTTTGGGCATGAATCACATGGCTAAACTGAAGGCCCCAGACTTTTCTCTGGCTGCTGCTCACCACCCTTATGACATCATAAGGAACAAAGATGCTGTGTCGAGTTCAGTTTTTACAGCCCTGTTTCTCTGCAGCAAATTGACTGGCAGTAGAATTGATCTTCATATATTGCTAATGGACATTTTGGTGCTAAAACAAAATGGTTTCAAGTTGGTTAAAGATCATGGCTTATTCCAAAGGTAGTAACCATAGATTCCCAGTTCAGGCAAAACAGGAAACTGTGGCTAATTTCCACATTTTATTTAGACATGCAGTGAAGGGATGAAAGAAAGAGTTGTGTGACTGGGCAACAGGCTCATACATAGCCTACTGAATTTCAGCCTACTGAAATATGATAATCCAAATGCTACTGGTCTTGCACATTGTTCTGATTCTTTTCTGGATGCCTACAGCTGTTTGCCTACCAACAATCAAATAAACCTAGCAAGCACACCCTCTATCCCATTTTCCTGCTTCTTTGTCTCCTGTCTGTCCATTACTTGAAAAGCAAAAGCAAATTCTCAATCCTTTGAAAATACAATTCTTAGGAAAAAGAGCAGAATAAAATTATTAGTAACTTGCATAACTTTCTCTGTTATTAGTTGCTATGGGTCGCAATGGAGGCTCCAGAACATCAGGTTCCAAGGTGAAGGTGGTTGGAAACTTCACTTTTTAAAATTATACCTTAGCTTGCAATTCTTTCTTCTGTGTAAATGCAAGGCCAGGGTGCTTCAACTATAATCCAGACTACCCAGAAACCAGACTTCCCGTTCTTATGGTAATTTCTTTTTATATTTTCTAAAGGTAGGGTGGTACAATGCAGTCCTTCCTCCAGCTTTTCATTTGCCATACTTGAATAACACACTGGCATATGTGGTGCTCAGCGTTCCTGCCATGTTTGACAAAGCCTTCAAACCTTTCTTGTGGAACCATCCGCTGAGAAAGATTCATGACCCCGTGGATCAATGCATTTCTTATCACCTATCGCTGGTTAGGGAGGTAAGATATTTTAATGCCTTTGACTCCTTCTGTCCTTTTTGTGGGTAACCATTTGAAAGCAGTTCTTCAGGAAAAATCAAAAGTTCCATCTGGATGAGAATCCTGTTTCCGGCAGTGGCCAGCCAGGTTTTTGTGTTCTGTTTTATGAAGGCAACAGTCCCCTCCCATTGTTTCTTCTCCAGCTTTCAGATGCCATCCTATCAGTAACAGTTGATACATCTATTTCTCAGTGGTTTTGTCTAATCCCCATATGTATTAGCAGCCACTTGTGGAAACAAAGTTGCATCAGTTAATAACTGACTGTAGCTGAGTAAAATGCAGAAAATTTCAGGTTCATTTTCTGTATTTACAGATAGGGCAGGAAAAGTTCCTACCTGAAACTGAAGATTGGCCGCTGCCAGTCTGTAATAGTACTCCTGAACTAAACTGACAAAAGGCCTGACTCAGTATAAGGCAGTTTCCAGTGCCCCTTATATATCATGTCAAAAAGTTTGTTCTATGTTTTTTTCTTAAATATATTGCCATTTGATTTTATTGGGTTAAGGTTAGGGTAAAGTATAGTATTATAGAAGCAAAATGCCTCTATCAGCTTTTTGCACACCATATGCAACTTCATAAACCTCAGTTATGTCCTTTGTAATCATTCCTCGCGTAAATGAAATGTCCCAGACCTTTCTTTTCCTTTCCTTGAACAGAAGGTACTTTTACTCCTTGTGGGTTTTCCCCATGTTTTCCGAATGAAGTTGCACCACTACAAAAAGATGTGTCTGTCACTGCTACAGCACCAGCTTTATGAAACTTGGACACATGAAACTGACTATGCCTACTAGAAGAGTCTGTAGTGGTTGTACATCTTTCAGTTATATGGTTGTTGACATGTATTAATTAAAGTCAATTAATTTAAATCTGTTTGAAACCTTTAATACAATCTTCAATGACTAGATGGAAGACTTTCCAAACCAAAGCATAACTTTGGAGTTGAGGGTGAGGCAGTAGTCTGAGGGACAACATTGTATGGGTCCTCCCTCATTCCTGCTCTGGGGCAGCCTTCCCTCAAGAGAAGGGGAAGCAGACCTCTCCCTCAGGATTTATGGCAGTGCACCATGGCGGAAACTGTGCCTAGAGGTTCAAGTGGTGGGAATTCATTCAGATGGGCCAGGCAAAGTGTGCCCAACTCTGACATCTGTGTAACTTTGTTCAAAGGCCTCAGTGTATCATCAGCTGCAGTATATTATTTCAATCCAAGCAAAGCTAGGTCCATTCACTAATTCATGTATATAAAGACATTACTATAGTCATAGTTTAGTTTTCAACCCCTTTCCTAGTATTGGCCTCTTCCAGCTTAACTACTGTATGATTCTATTCCTGCAATGGAAAGCCGGCAGGGATTCCCCACATCCTCAGCCAACTGGGCCAGAACCTGCCCAGGAAAGCCCTGGTCCAGAACCTTGGACCAGCCACTGGATTCAGCACATGACAAACCCAAGCTTGGGGAAACAAACAATTTTATTAAAAGATTAAAAGATAGGGATGGAGGGATTAAAACATATCTAAAATCTAAAAAGGATAAAAGGGGATTTGGACAGCAGCAACAGGAATAGTTACAGCCAACCAAGACTGCACTCCCAGGGCCTTGTTGGTCCACTCAGACAGTGTTGGTCCACTAGTGTATGCTAGCTGGCATGATGGGATCCACTAGAAAAACCTGCACAAACTAATGTTATTTGTGCTGGGCTAGAGGTCCCATACACAAACATTCATTATATTTGTGCTTTAGTCTTACTGGATACTGCACAGTGTCTTGTTAATTTTAATTTGGCAGTTAGCCCCGGAAGATTGTCTTTTGTCACCTTTGTCTGATTTATTTCAAATGAAGTGTTCTGCTTCCCAAGACACCCACTCTCTTGGGAAAACTCACATCTAGCATTGTGGAGTGTGCTAGGGAAAGCACAAGAACTCGGATGAGCCAAGGTTTGTAAGCAGAGGACCTTAAAACTTTTTACAATGTTTGTTAAATTATGGTGGTGCAAAACCTTTTGGCTAGATCATTATTGTTGGCACACAGTAGAAGAACTCATGAAGTGGAAAAAAATATCTTCATACAGCAAAAACGAAGTAATAATCTCTGTCTTGAATGCAACAGTGCCACTGCTCATTTGTAATTACTGGGCCTAGAAAACTAGGATCATAGATACAAAGAAAATAATGGATATTGCAGATATACTAATCCCTTGCACCAAGGGTAAATATGAAGTATGAAGCCTTTTCTGTGCCTCCATCATATTCCAGTATGGCATGTCTTTTTTGCAGCTGTCACTACTTCTGTTTTGAACTACACTGAAATTAGGAGACTGAATGGTTAAAAACAGTTTTTAGTTAAAAGCATAGCCTACATGTGACAGAATTTGGGTGGCACCTCTTGAGATTGTAGCTAAGGGGATAGGTTTTAGGTTTTCAAATGTTCTCTTGCTTTAAAAAGCAACTCTGAATCTAATAAGATAGTACATCAGGGGAAATGGTTTAGTGTAGCTCTCCCCATGAATTCTGCATGCAAGGAACTTCTTATTTAGGATACCATACAAAAATAGGACACACAAACCTGCAATATAATCAAGAATTATACTACTTTTGCTGCTTGTGTGATGTGTAGAATGGTTTTCAATAACCAATATTGAAACATACCAAGATGTAACCAATATTGTGGGTGCATTCCTTGCCAGCATGGGAATAGTGTTTTGTCAGCAAGGTAGTCACGCCCACCATTTTTTGTTGGATATTATCTTTGTAGTAATCCCACCCCACACTGGTTGTTTTATGAGCAAGAAGTTAATGGTGCAGCTTCTTATCATGTGACATGATTTTACTGTGGTTTCAGTTCCCCATCTGCATAATAAAGATGCTGAGTACTGAGAATGTGGGGACTTGACAAGCCGGCAGGTGTTCAAACACAATGATGCATTCCATTGTAATAGTATACATGCACCTGGTTCCAGTAAACATTATAGAGCAGTGGCTCCCTGTGTGCAAAACCAGCTACAGTTGCTGTGGCTCCATCATGTGATGGTCTAAGCTTGGTTTCTTCTACTTCACACCCTGGAACCACCCAGACCACAGCTGATAAGCCTTGCTCCTGTATAGTTGAATAAATAGTAATGGCTTTGAGGCCATCACTTAAAAACTTTGAGAATGGTTTTTCTCATTTCTCTACTTTCTACCACTTTGAATATTAATTCAAATATTTATTGCAGAGAATGTAAAAATAAGGAAATCATTGTAACAAGAACAGGGTATTGGAGACTTAGCTTAGAGTTGTTTGTAAACTGTATATTGGAGGTCATGCTTCACCTATACATGAAAAGATCTGTGAATTCTTCACTGGACTGGACAGAATAAGTTTGGAACACCCAAGGCAGAATGCAGGGGTAAACAAATGAGAAAATAAATGACACATGCCTCAAATTTTTTCAGTGTAGAAGTCTGTAGTTCCTTCAAGCAAGGCATCTCAGTCTTAAATAATTGAGAATATAAAAGTAGAATGCCAACTTAGAATGGGGAGACAGGAGATTGTAGAACAACTTTCCTCAACTTGGTATCCACTAGATGTATTGGACTGCAACTCTTGCCATTCCTAACCAGCAGGGCAGTGATGGGGCTTGCAGCCAAACACATCTGGAGAGCATCAGATTAGGGAAGGCTGTTGAGGACCCCCTACATCAGAAGAAGTTAGCCTCTTTCAACCAAACTGCATTTCAGAGAAGCTCTTGGGGTGCAGAATACCAGCAGATTTTTGGCAGTAACTACACCTTAGCAGAGGTACTTCAACCTTTCAGAATGTGTGTGTGTGGGGGGGGGGGGGACTACACAAAGTCCAGGAAACCACTATATAATTGATGTCCAGTGGAAATGGGGATCCCTGGTAGGCCAGGCTAGGGTTCTGGGCCTAGGATTTTACACATGTGTCCTACAACTTCCCACATGCCTGCAGCAGGTGCCTCTTCACATGAGATATTGGGGCTAATTGAAACTCTTCTTTCTAGAGCCTTGCTGATCAGCGGGTTGATATCATGTATGACTATGAGATGCTGTCCAATCGGAAGCCCAGGTTCTTGGCCCAAACAGCGGCACATGTAGCTGGTGCTGCATACTACTACCAGAGGAAAGATGTGCTGCAAGATCCCTGGGGCGAGAAGGTGAGCATATGAAAAGCAGCAAGGGAGTGCTTGTTTGCTAGGGACTGGTGGGTAAGCTGTACTTGTTTCCATTTAGGAGAGTTTGATAAGGGTTGAGCCTCTTTTTTTTTTTTTTTTGCATGCCTATACCCATATTGTCAACCCAGAAAATACACATTTTTCTTCTCTTGGATGAATTAAGAAAACAGGGCTAAATATAATTTCATTATTTTCCTTTTAGGCTATAATCAACTTTGTTGTAAACCATCAAAGAGCTGTAGCTATGCAAGGTTTAGAAATTGTTGTTGTTATCACTATTAAATTTTAATTTAATATTTGGCAAGGAGTGGTGTGTCAGAAGGAATAAAGTTTCCTCTGACATTGTTGGAGAGACAGGAGGGCAGCCATTACCCAATATCCATAGAGGTTTTCGAAAATCAAGAACACTTTACTGGCACAATTGAAACATCTCCTAAATGTATCTTAAAACCTTATATCTCCAATTTTATTTCCAAAACTTGTTTTTAAGCATAAATGTACACTTTAAAAACATTAGTACATTTACGTCCTGCCTTTTTCCCTCTTGCAAGGAACCCCAGGAGGCTTCCACAGGCCCTCTCCATTTTATCCCACAAGAACCACCCTTTGAGGTGCATTAGGCTGGGAGCAGGTGACTGATTCAAAGTCAACCAGTGAGCTTCAGATGGGAACTAGAACTCACTTCTCTCAAATCTCAGCCCAACACTCTCACTAGCACACCACATTGGCTCTGGATTATGTGGCATACTCTATCAGGAAGGGTGATACAGGGGAACTTGCTGCATTGCAGGTGACATTGCTTCGAGACAGAGAACAGGTAAATCACTCCTTGGAGCCCTGGTGATAAATTGTGCTAACTACTGAGATGTTCTAAAGGATTTCCCTCCAAAGTCATTGTGATTTTTAGGAACAGAAAGGGGAAGTGTAGCATAGCAAACATTTGGAGATGAGCCATAGCTCTTTAGTATTGCATGTGCTTTTTGTGCAAAGGTCAACAACAAGGTAACAGAAGAGTGGCAATATTGTGTAGTGATTTTCCACAACTGTGGAATATTTGTGACATATAAAAGTTTCCTAGAAGTTCACACTGAGTTTCCTCTGAGTCCTAATTGTTCAGTACACTTAGCTGTTGTGTGTGTTAACACTCCAGTTATGTGATACAATACTCTTCTTCCTAAACAAATTCTTGTTTTGCAAGGCACTACTGTCTGCATGATATCCCTAGATTCATTATACCTCTGCACATACAGCAAGGCAGATAACATATGGCCATCAGATTGCATCCACATGGGTTTAGATTTTTATGGTTCTCAAACACCCAGAAAACTTTTCAGCTTTTAAGGACACACAGTCAGTTGGCAATTACTATCGTGTGTTGTTACGGTTTGTGCCCAAACTTAAGATCCTATGCCAGAATCTAAACTTCTTAGAAATACCCCCCAAGTCATATCTATTTTTGAAAAAGAATAACAGATGTTCAACACATGGCTATTTCACCTCATAAATGAGTGGCAACACAGAAGTTTATAGAGCATATGTGCTACATTTCCATCAGAAACCACATGACCAGAAAGCAACCTGACTCATTTTTGTCAGGAAACCAGAGTCAACAAGATGTGTGTGTGTGAGAGAGAATCCATAAATCTGGCTTACATTCCACTAATTAGGTTAAATGCCCTAAGGATGCACCCCTGTATTACTTCTGAGTAGACAGATATAGGATTGTATTGTTGGTATGCAGTCATGTGCACCTTTCCTGGGAATAAACTCCATTGAATTCAGTGGAGTTGTTACAAGTAAAGCTGCACTCACTGGCCTGGGTTATAAAGTAGCAGCTGGCTCTTTACATAGTTGTATGTGGAAACTATCAAGTGGTGATGAGGTGGTTTTATTTTGTTTCCCCATAGAGTTGATAGTAGTATGCTGCTTGTGGGGTGTGATATATGCTCATCCCACTTACACATTTGGATATCAGATGTTTGTATTTTTTCACAAACCTACAAAACCTCTTCGACCAGAAGCAATATTGGGAAACCAATTCTCTTCTAAACTATTTTCAGACCCACTGAATGCAGAGTTTCCATGAGCAAAGAGGTCTGAGGTTTGGCAAAAATGGAACTAGCCCCAAACCTGTTACTATGGGATGGCAGATTAACATCTTGAAAACAAACTAAATATTTTAATGATATCTGTCTATAACAATATCTTGTTTCCCCATCCTTCTGCCCACTCACCTCTTTTTGAGGAATGACACTTTTAAATCAATGACTTCAATCTATTGGGTTTTTTTTCCCTCTCTTTAGAAGATTTATGGTGTCTGCATCCACCCATCGTATGGAGGTTGGTTTGCTATCCGGGCTCTCGTGGTTTTCCCAGATGTTCAGGTGCCCTTCTTGCCACAGAGCCCCCCTTTTGATTGTGTGACAACACAGGAAGAACGAATAGAGCTGCTGAATAAGTTCAATTTTCACTGGCAGGACTGGAGCTACCGGGACATTATTGAAGTGAAGGAGAAGTACTCTGAGGAACAGAAAACTTACTTTGCAACTCCTCCAGCTGAACGGTTAAAACTGCTGAATCTACAAGGATTGCAGCAAAATAGAATACACTAAGTAGCTAATTGTAGCAAAGGTGCACTATATATGAGAAACATCTAGCTTACCGACCTATGTTAACTACTATGGAGACAGAACTTGCTGATGTGTTTGATCACTGAAACTGTAATCTGGAACATACGTGTAAGGAGTAAGCCTTGTTGAACATAGGTGGACTTATTTCTGAAACACACATAGCATTGTGTTGAAAGATTAGTAATACAAGTCTTATCAGATGCTATTTCTAAAACAAATTTAAGATCCTCTTTTTAGAAAGTATTATTTTATTTTATTAGTAAATAGCAAAATGTGTGTGTGTGATCTTTGGTAGTCCATATTATAAGTTCAAGAGAGATAAGTTTGTACATTGCACTTTTTATTGTTCTGTGGGAGAATTTTTCCTGGAAGCAAATGATTTTGAAGGATGACCTCCTAATTTTCACCGTCTAAAATCATTTCTGGTACTGCAACTTACTGTGATTTTCAGTGCACATGATGAGGCCTTGAAATCCTTTCATTTCATTCCAGTTGTCTCTTTCCACTTCTGTTCAAAATGCTGGAGATGCTGTCTCATTCATGTGCTGAAGGGGAGCTGCTGCAGTTTGTAAACAGAGTAAAACTGAAGGAAGCAAAAATGTCTTCACCTTTTTTGTGTGTGCCTTACAAGTCCTGTGTGGTACTTACGCTAGATTTCAAGGCTTTAGGTGAAATATATATTATTGCTCCAATCAAAATGAGCTACAGTGGCTTAAATAGGCCATGGTGGCTTGTTTTAATCCCTGGCCTGTGCGGAGTGCCATTACCCTAATGACCCTTCTGGATGTGACTTGTTATATCATCCAAACCCAGGTGATACAGCTTCTTTGAGGGCAAAAAGAACTTTCAGATAACCCATGGACTGTTGTTGGGTGATTCAGACAATTTGACAGGTTGTGTGCAAGTGAGTAATTAGGGAAATGAAAACCAGCAAGCAAGGGATATTAAAACAAACCAGGGGCTTGTTTGATCGTATGCATTGGCCCATTGAATTAGAATGATGCAACCTAGTCCATACCTGCCAAGAAGTGAATTCTCTTGCATACATAAGCAACATATAAATAAGCTAAATAGGACCTTCATGTTACAAGAGAGAACTGTCACTCTTTTGTTTGTGGGTGTCTAGATATGTCTAACGAAACAAATATAGAACACTACACAGATTTTGGCTGATTCAGCGAGGTGATTCTTATGCTTGTTCTTTGGGTGATAGCATGGAAAAGCCCTTATTGTCCTGTAATACTGTATGGTCCATTTCTTCACATTGTTGCAAGAATAAAATGCATACTGCACTGCCTCTCTTAGAGGACGTGTGGAATAAAAAGATAATACATTAAATGTTCCTTCACCATGTTATTGTACTTTTATACTATTGTAGTTTCTAAGCAAGATTTTCACTCTTTTTTTTTTTTTAGCTTTTACTCTTTCTCTTGGCTTTCTTACTTCCTGCCTACTTTTTCTCCCAAGAAGACTATTTCAACCTGTGTTGTTGGATTATCTGCCAGTTCCAGAATGTTCTGAACCAGACCTACCATTCCTCTGATTGCTATGAATAATTGACCAACCTGGGCTCTCTCAACCACTTAAGCTACTGCAGGATAGATAATTCTACCATACAAATCATTCCAATTTTCAAGAATGAATGATCAGCTACTGTGGCATTGTGGTCAAGTATTCTTCTTCTTCATTCATAGGATACCTGGGAGATACACTGGGCAATAATGTGACCTTTCACAATGCTTTCTGGGCTACAATTTGATATTGAGTAGGAACTACAGGCTCTTTTGTGAATCTTCTTTTAAAGAGTTATTCCTCAGAATATTAGTGTGGAACCTTGATAGGGAAAGAAGGTTTCCAAACTGTTGCATCATCTCTGTTTGCAGCTATGATGGAAAACCTAAAAAAAACTTTGAAAGTCAGTCTTCATTCATTCAATAGGCAATCTTGGCTAGAGTGAGAGAGAATCAGTTTTTAACACCCTCCTTGCCCTATGCCTTAGCTGCACCTTCAGGAAACATGTTTTTCTTGGTCCTTGGAAGTGGAAGGTGGCAGCTTTCACCTGACAATTGCTCCAATGCCCGTATTTTGCTCTGTGGAACGTCTTGGTCACCTTAAGTGTTTTCTTGCAATTATGTCTGCATCTTTTCTTTTTTTTGACTGCAGTTACCACTATTGTGGAAACTACCCATGTGATTGGGAGAAGGCATCTGGCAAGCTGGATAACTATGACTGAGTTGATGGTGTGCTGGAAAGGATACAAGCAATATCAAAGGACAACTCTTTGTTTGCTGAAGGGAAGACCACCCTTCAGTTTTCATCTAAGGGTTATTTTGCAGGGAGATTTAATTAATGGCAAGAATTTATTCAACACTGAAATATATCTGTGTGGCATCCACAGGAGACAGAACCTGTACTGCATCCTAGAACCTGTCTCCATACTGGTAAATTCTGAAGTCCCTGTAGCTACACCCCAAGAAGAGTGAAGAACCCAGGGCAGCTGTGTCAATCCATCTCTGTGTATGTGTTATTTGTGCCTTTTACAGGACCACTTCAAAGCACTCAAACTCAAAAGTTTCTCACCTTCACCTTCCTATCCTCAAATCTCCTGTATTTTTACTAGATGGCTTTTCAGCCTGTCCAGCAAGGATGGTTTGTGGGGGGGGGGGGGGAGCTGTAGAATAGTAGTTGGAAGGGTCCAGAAGTCCATTGGGTCCAACCCCAGAAAAACATAAGTTGTATCCTGGCCTCTCTGGTTTCTTCCCCTACCTGCTCACCAGAATGCACCCCTTCCTTTGTCTCTGAAGTTGATTTCTGACTTAAGAGAGGCAGCCAGCTCATCAGCTGTGAGGGAAAAGGACTTGGGATCAGGTCTCTTAACTCCCCCTTCCAACCACTTGAATTTGGAGAGATTTTGCAAACCTTCCTACAGTTCCTAGGATGTACTCCCACAGACTGTAGGAATTTTTGCAAAGCAAATGGATCTTAATTACACATTCAAGACCAAGACATCCCAAAATACTCATAATTACAACAGGGATACCTCAGAAAAATATACAGTGGCTAGGAAAATCCACTTTCACTACAGCTACTGTGAGGTTTGCTGTTAATATCATAGAGAGTGACTAATGATGTCAGCTTCTCTGCTGATCAAAAAGTTTTGACCCTGTGAGCCTCTGTTCCATCATGCCACTGGTTGCATCCTGATGTTTTATGATCCTTTTCTTCTATTTCTATACATGTATTACATTTCCCACTATCACTTGAATCCCTGTATATTAGGTCACCTTCTAATTCATTCTTGCATCCCAATTCAGTATATCCTACAGTGACTGCAGAAGCAGTGTATTTAAGGTCCCACAGCTTATTCAGTCTTTGAGAACAGACTAGTTGGTCATCTTCTAGATCTACTGTACCTCCTTCAGCATCAGGGCATGTTGCACAAAAATGCTCTCTCTAACATGTGCAGCAAGCCAGGCTTGCAAAAACCATTTCATTGTGAAAATCTGGGAATCACAAGAATGAAATTGCACTCTGTTGGTGAGTTAAGACCCATCTTCAGCTGTTCCCCTCACCCCTTCCTGGCAGCTGTTTGGCTGCACAGAGCTCAAATCCATCTGTATAAAGCAGCAAATTAGGTGTTTAATCCCTGCTTGCTGGCATCTTAAGCAGTTGGGATTGGAAGGCCATTCCTGAAAGATTTGTGTCTGCAGTCTGCTAGAGTATGGCTAATTTCTAAATCCCTCACAGGCTCCTTTCCACATGTCTTTGCCTTTGCATTTCACCAGCTGAGACATGGAGGCTGTTGCTGTGGAATTGTAGGAATAGCGCTCTGCACTGTATTACCTTTGCTTTCCTGGTTACAAAAATGGGCGCCTGGTAGGTGAAGGAGGGTTTTTGTGAAAGACAAATCAATGTCCATACCTTGATGGAGGAAGCAGCTGTTGTCCATGTAGTTAGTGCTGTTCTTTCATAGAGGCCATTCCCTTATTCTAAAAGTGAAAAGTGTCACACTTGAGATGACCACTCCAATCCTGGCCAGCTGGGCCCATGTTTGGCCAAGGGGTGTGTGGCAGTGCAGTACCATGCAGTGATTCATGGTGTGTTTCCACAATCCATTGCTGAACACACTACAGATCTCTGGGTGTTGAGCACACGGGCAACATGGACTAAGGTGGTGCTTTTCTTAGGATGTATTCTGGTTCTGAAATGGGGGGCAGCATAAGGATGCTCTTTCAGCAGTGATGGAACAAGTACAAGCATGAATTCCTATGAAAGGACAAATGCAGCCAGCAAGCCCAGTACTTGGGGAAACAGCACACAGAAAGTATGAAGTGAAAAGTCTCTGGACTGGATTCTGAATCATTCTTAACTATTCCTTTCTATTTCGCCCATGGATCAAAAAGCTTTGAAGCAGCAACTAGCAGATACAACCAGCTAGAAAAGGGAAGGATGAAGGGTTGTTGATGATAGTTACAAGAGTTAATTCCCTAAGTCTTGCTGCAATGTCAAAAAGTTATTTCTAATGGGGGAAACTAACAAGATTTAAGGCTATTTAAACTGAATTGATGCAGTGGATAGTGTTTAAGTGACTGCCCAGGGGAGGGAGTGTAGCTCGTTGCTAGAGGATCTGCTTTGTTTGCAGAAGATCCCATTTTCAGTCCCAGCACTCCAAGAAGGGCTTGTGAATAGCCATTCTGAAACTCCAGATGCTGCTGCCAGTCAGTGTTGATAGGGCTGAGCTGGATGGACCAAGGAACCTGGTATAAAGGCAGCTTCTTGTAGGAGGTGAAGTGTGAATTTGTCCTATGGACTTTTTAGTCTGGAAGATCTTGTATCTCAGAATTTACATTGCATTTAAACCCATTATGGTAGGAAATTGACTACTTTAGCCTGGAAGTAGTAGTAGCCAAGAGACCTGATCTGAATCTCTGTTAGGGAAATGCAGCCTGCTTTCATTCCATTCCTTGAATATCCCATTTTGTTGCCTACTGTCAATGAAGTATTTACATTTTCCAAGATTTCTGTAATTGGAACAGATGCCTTTGGCGTGGACACTCCACCTCCTGCTGGTGGAGTCCCATCTCTGCTGCATCTTAAGCCCTCTGAACAGCTGACCAGGGGGCAGGGTAGGTAGGATTATGCTTCCCATTCATGCAGATCCAGAGCTCGAAAGGAGACAATATGCTGTGACTACTCCTGCTGTATAAACTTTGTTAATGTCTTGCAAAGTTAAATGTGACTAGCTTCTAGAAAATGCTATTTTCTTAATAGCCTAGGCCTAGGGTAGCCTTCTCCAACCTGGTGCCCTCCAGATCTTTTGAACTACAACTCTTATCAGCTCTAGGTGGCATGAATTAGGAATGCTGGGAGTTGCCATTTAAAACATATGGAGGGCATTAGGTTGAGGAAAGCTAATTGAGAAATTCAAATTTTCTTTCCTTACTGCTCTTTGTATGCCCTTCACTTAAGTCTGAGAGATCCTTGAGGTGCCCAAAAGTGCCAACAAAAAAATTTCCATGTCAGCAATGAGCTTCTGTACAGTAAGAGAAACTACTTTATAATTCTTACCGTTTCAAAATATAACAGAAAAGGAAATACTGCATAGAACAGGCTTGGAATCAAAAGAATAAATGTTTAATAGAAACCTGAATTAAAACCCACAAATGTCATTAAGAGAGCAACAATAATTTGTTGAATAGAATTTCTAGTTTCAAGAATGGACTGCAGAGATTATTTCTTCTTTTTTCTCTTCCCTCCATCCCATAATAAATGTGTGATACCTAGCAAAAGATGGAGGGTTGCCAAGTTGGACTGCTTTGGAAATACCTCCCTAGAGGTAGCAGCTGAGATGAGGAAAATGAGCAAGTGGAAATAAGCAGAGAGATAAAAGTTTAAGCCTTAATTCCCCTTATATTCCTGGTTTCCCCCACACTTTGATGCTCCTGTGATTCAGTGGGGAAAATCCAAAGAGGAACAATTTGCTTCCTTTCGGTACAAGTACAACATAAAGAGATTTGTAAGTTGGACCGCAAGTTTCCCCCTAGTTTCATGGCATGAACTGTACAATTTGCTTAAGTACTTGGGGAGGGCTATTGGAAGCCTTTGAGCTGGGGTTTCCTAGGGAAGACTCCTGTTGTCAGGGCTAACCCAATACATCTTGCAATTTGAGGTGAAGAACAAAGTTGTGGTGCATCCCATTCTATGTACAAAAGGTGACTGGACTGCAGGCGAAAGGTGAGACAGCATGCTCCATTGCACAAGAAGTCAGTGGATTTGCTTCGTGATGCCAAACAAACCACATGACACACAGGTCTCAGCATCTGCTGCCTGCAGCTTAG